CTTAAGAGTCCGCCATATTGGATGATTACAATGATGTAAAATGTATCGCTTTTGAGTTAACGCTATTATTAATTTCACTCCTCATAAAATTCCCATACCCTTCGGTTTATATGAAAATTCGCCTTATATGAAAACCGGTTCTTAAGGAGTAAACTCCAATAAAATCTATATCTATAATACATAAAAGTCTAAGTCGAATCTGTACTATTTTTTTTGAAAATCTTATTAAAATAAATCATTATTATCGATACAGAGGCTGAATCTATTGTTTTTAGAATTTTTATCGGTCTGTCTGTCTGATTTGATAGATTTTGGTGAAATTTGGTAAGATGATAGCTGCTTATCTGGGACAACATAGCTATGTATCTATAGGATACTTTTTACTGCGGAAAAATATCTCATCTGTGAGAAATCAGTTCTAAAGCTATTTTAATAATTAAAATAATAAAATTAATAATAGAAAATTCTATTGCTTTGTCTTAACTTAAAAAATTTAAATAAAAGTCAACTACTAGATTTTGTTTTTTAATTTTTTATGTTCATCTATGAATGCATGTAATTTTAAAAGTAATAAAAGTATTACTATCTATTATTATTCTTCATTTTGGGACGCAAAGTATGTTATCCTCGAGATACGTTTTTTTTTTAATTTATAATCTTTTTTTTTAATTAATAATGCAATTTAATTAAAGTATAGATAATAATAAGTTAACAGAAGCAACAAATGTTGTACACATGTCTTGCGTGCAAGAGAAATTCCACCATTTGCACACGCAACTGTTGCCATTGAACATGTTGCACTTGAACGAATTTTTCATTCATGTAAGTAGTTTTATTGAATGTATTCTTATTTAATTTTTGTGACTATATTTGGTGACGAGAGTCATGATTTCTTTTTATATTTTATTCAACTTCTTTTACGTCCTACCTAAGGTTAGGTTGACAGTAAAATTATACTTAACTTAAACACCTTATTACCTATTTGTTGATATGGAATTGACTCGAGCCCAGTGCACAAATAAAGCCAAAAAGCACTCTAAAAATTGTTATACTCGTAAATCTATCTCTCATAAGAGTAATAAGTCAAATCGAATTGAAATAACTTAGAATAGAGTTAGACTTTACTTAGAGCTTTTATATTTTGGTCTTTATTTGGTTTCCGTTTTATTTTTAAAAAATTGAATATATTGCGAGTCAATTTTTCTTAAGACTGCTCTATAAGCTCTTACTAATAGGACTCACAAGTACCTTACTAAAATATTATCCTTTCAAGTTATATAAATATTATTCGTCATTGAAATGCCGATGAAGTGACTCTGAATAAATATTAACTGTTAAGTGTTTTATTAGATTCGCTTATCAAAATAATTTTAGATAATTTAATGAGAATATAGGTTGCAATAAGTAACGTTCTGGGTTCTCCTTTACAAAAGGCACTCTATACTATTCCGAGCCTTATTTCTTACCGTTGCTGAGTTACTGTCTTTATGCTATCGCGAGTATTGTAAGAATGGTTTATATTTATAAATCTTGCTTATCTATTTCAATTATAAAATGATGACTTCTTCAAAAAATAAGCTTAACTTAACACGAATTCCATAATTTTTCTGCTTAGCCAGATCAACACAATAAATATAATTGAATACGAGAGTGTTTACATTTGAAATTAGATATTTATAGATATATGGATATTAATTATAAAGCGAGGAGCATCTGGCCATAGTCTACCACGCTGGCCAAGTGCGGACTACACATGTCTTTCGAAAACTTGCTAGGTTCTCTCGCAAATGCAGGTTTCCTTACGATGTTTTCCTTCACTGTAAGACAAGTAGCTTAGCGTGTTGGAAATGATTCGCACATGAAATATTAGAGGTGCGAAACTCAGAATTTGAACTCACTTCACTTGATTTCTCAAACAAGCGCGTTACCACTGGGCCATCACTGCCATGTAGCCATATATTTTAAAGTTATATACATTACAGCCCTATTAGTCTAGCTCACAAGTTGAAATTAGTGAAAAATGGAGATGAAGCTACTAAGAATATGTGCGATAGCTCATTGGATCCGGAATGATGTCGTCTAGAAAAATCTGTTTAAACTATTTTTCAAGCATGTTAAAAATTGCGAAAGTTGTAAACAAATAAAGATGAAAAAATAGGTATTTAGTTTTTTCGCTAATAATTTAAAAACTATTAAAAAAATCCTTAAAGAGGAAGAAATGTTCAATAAAAAAGTCCCGACTCCCGGAACTCTACCTCTATTATTTATCATTTTAATTTAACGCTGAAAATAGAGTTCCAAAGGGCCGAGTACATTTGAATAAATTTTGTTGTATTGTAAACACTTTAAGCAATTAAGTTCCGTAGAAAAAAAGTTTTTAAGTTAATTTTTAGAAAAGTTAGGCGATTGTTAATTAACAAAAAAATCTGACCTTCGTTGTCATTAAAGACTACAAAAATGTTTAAATAATTAATTGGTCCATAATTTTTCGCTTCTTGGAGCCTTTTTATACAAATATACACTTAAAAAGATCACGTCATGAAAGTTTTTTAAAATTTCAATATTTTGTTTATTATAATTTTTTCAAGTTAACAAATAATAATTAAATATAAAAAAAATCTTTTCTCCAAATTTTTAATTTATCAATATATAGATTTTTGAGAATATCGATAGTTTAAATTTAAGTTTCGAATAAGATCGAAATGGACTTAACTTAAAAATCTTTATTGCCCCATAGGTTAGAATTATCTTGTTTTATTATGACGCAGTAATATGTTCCAATGAAATCCATTTTCAGCTGCGTAGCTTAGGGCGTTTGTTTACACATAAAAACTTAATAATCGTTGGGATCTAAAACAATAAGTTTTCAGCTCGGTAGGTTCTGCACCTCATATAACTTATTTTACATGAGAAGACAATAAAGTTATAGTGTATATACACGGTAATATTACATATATACATTACCGTGGTGTATATTCATACAAACCGACTATAGTCGGACGTATAATTATTTTTGAATCATCCTATTATCGTACGAATAGCAACAGCCTATTTATGTTGTAGTAAAATAAAAAATTACACAGTTTTATTGGTTGTAAGGAATTTTTAAAATCGAAAAAAGCAAACATCAGTTGTACAAGGGAAGCCGATGACTGTTGACAGTGGTCAGTGTGCGTAGTATGATAGTGTTATTATGATGAAAATTATGATAATCATAATACAATGACATCATAGCTAAATATATTATAATATACACAATAACTAATGTATGATAATATAATTTTTTATAGTACGAGTATTTAGTGGTCGAAATTTGAAGATAATATTTTTTATGATAACCCGAAAGCTCGTCAATAGATATTAAATAAAAAAAACGATTGACAAGCAGACGAAATATGTACTGATTTTTTATGCCTTTGCAATATTTTTATATATAGAATATATTGTGTGTATGTATGTCTTGCCTAGTACAATATAAAATAATTAATATTATCTAAAACTATATAAACTTTTTTGTTTTTAATTTTTTTTTATTCTTTTGCGTATCAGTTATGTATACAAACTTGTACAAACACAAACTATGACGAGGATGTGCATTCAGCAAAAACTCTTGCGTAGTGTTGACCTTGTAATGCTTGGAATTAATATATGTATAATAGGTACATGGCGCAAACGATAAACGGTTTTATTTAGATATTTAAAAAAAATAATTGCAAGACTTTATTCTTATATTAAAATCCTCTGCATACTTTGTAATTAAATCTTAACACGATTTTCATGAAATTTAGTATACAGTGGGTTTCGGCAGCGATAAATCGATCTAGATTAGTCTTATGTCTGGGAAAACGCGTGTTTTCGAATGTTCATGCGGTTTTCTTTCGCATTATTCCACGCAAAATATGGTCGATAATTTCGCACACTCATGCATAAGCATCATGGTCAAGCGGCAAGTGTCCGGTTAGAATCTCGGTCGGATACAAAGGTATTTTTTTTTATTTATTCAAGTTTTTAGTTTATTTCTTAAAAGAAAATTGTACTTTTGACCAAAAACTCCGAGCGGAGCTCGGTGGCCCAGGTAATTATTATAATAACAACAGTATACATACTACATGTATAAAGTATATTATGTAATATTTTTTACTATATTAAATATTAATACTGAATATAAATAGGTGTGTTGTACATATAATATACAATTGTTCATATTCCTAATAATAATGTAGGTATATTGTTAAAGCATTTCTTACGAAAGAGTGTAAACGCTTTTAACTCGAGACATGGTACGCCGCGCCGTACGGATAACACAGTTTTGCATGCTAAACGACTATTATTAATTTGACACTATTTCTGTGAACACGCTCGCCGTATTACGTAAATTATAATGCACGTTTGAATACTTGCACGTCTCATTACTGTAGTTAAATAATTTTGCTACGTATAAAAATAGATGTATGATTTGTATGACTAATATGAAGTAATTATAATGTAAGGAGAAAAACTAGGAAATGTTTTCATAAAGATATTAATTAATATTTATTATATGCTGAAATGTTTTTTTCTGTTTATTAAAACGTAAAAATATTCTCTTAATTAATTTTTCCATTTGTTTCCTAGAAATAATTACGGAATGTACATTACATACAACTACGCTGTATTGCAACTCTTTTAAAAGTTAGTTATTTTATGCCAATTAAATTCTTCGTAATTGTAGCGCTTCGCGACCTATTTTACTAAAAACATTCATTTCATTTCATGATTAACCACCATGTAACAAAAATTATGACTTTAAAAAAATATATATTCAATACAAATAACGTTAACAGTTAAAGACCGTCCTTATTTTTAATAATTTATTGAAATATTTACTATTATATGCATTCAGTATTTATATCGCATAATTTTTACAATATTAATATGATGTTATGTGCTTAGCTACTGTTTGAATTAGCGATCACAACTTTTATTATATTTCAATTATCAATGCTACATTTCATAAAATAATGTTTTTAAAAGGTTGTCGGTTTGCAGAAGTAAGACAGGAAGCAGTTCAGCAGGCGCTTGCAGAGATGCAGAACCGGCCCAAGCCTTCTCTTCCTATGCCATCGAAACGAACGTCGATGATGGCTAAAAGTCCTGATAGAGAGAGACATGATCTTTGTGAGTGTAGATGATGTCTTAGATCGTAATTATCATTTACATTTCTAGCCATCCAACACTTCATTTGGAGCTTATAGTGCACTATTTATAATTTCCTTTTTATTCTATTAAAACTCTATATTTATAATAACATGTACATATTAGCAGCTTCGAGTTCTGATGAAGACTCGTGTGCTGGTGACTCTGAACTGCCACCGCCGCCCGAGCTGGGCTCTCCCCCTGGTCGCCGTCCAGCTGCACCTCACCCCCGCGGGCACCCTCCACCCCTCCCACAAATGCACCATCAAAGAGAGAAAAAGCACGCGCCCAGGGAAAAAACAGAGATCGACTTGTCAGACATCACGCATCTGCCAGCGTGTAAGTATAAGGGTTGAAAGTTCTAAAAATATTAAATGCACTTTACAAAAACATACTAATCAAGATGATAAGTGCATTCTAATGGGAATTATAAATTCAAAACGAAGAAGAAGGATGTCATCTCCATATACCAGTACACTAGGAATTTAGCCCTAGAATATTCATAGATCACTTAGTACTTACTATGCTAGCATCCCTATTTACTCTTTATGATTTTTATTTATTTTTTAATGAAAAAGTGAACTTAAAACTTCAAACGATTTGAACATAAAAGAATATTAATTATAAATTATAAATATTATATATACAAGGTGGACTGGAAATCGATGGAACATTGTTTAAAAGTGCCTTAAATATTGAAGTTATCAAGATTTAGTCAAAAGAAACATTATTTTATTTTTAAAAATAGGATTTTTTTAATCAAACAAAAAATTTATTTACTATTATAATTATAGGTTCATTAAATAAAATAGTGACGGTGACCTTTTTTGCATTTTTATTTGGTTCGATTCCCGGTTCAGGTAAGCTTTTTAAAACAAAATTAAATGCAGTTATTAGTAAATCTTGATAACTTCAATATTTAAGGTACTTTTCTTCCATGTCCCATCGATTTCTTCCAGCCTGTATATAAATAATTCAATGCAGTGGCTGGGTTGATATTGTCTGAGACGAACATTACTGTCTGGTTGACGTGTCTTAGTTCTAGAGATCGATCCTTGCACACCGCCAGGTGTACGTTTACATATCTTCATTCATTTACAGGTGATAAAGGCATTTCGGAAAATGGGCAAAGGCGTTGTGTAAATTTTAACGACTCCCTTATTTGAATTTCATGACGCAATTGAACATGTTATTCCTTTACGATACATTTTGAAATTCGATTAAAAAATATTTATAATTTATTACATGAATAACATACCTACATTATAAGTTAGTGACTTAGTCAAAAAATCTATAACTTAAAAAAAGCTGAATTACTAAACATCCTTGAGTGCAAGGAGAAGCATCTCGAATTTTTAAGTATAGATTTTGTTTAGTCGTTTACATTTAATCAAATTTTCTATTTTGAAATTAATAGATTAAAAAGGATATGAGTGAGTATAAGATACCTACCTAATTATAAATAATAATAATTATACTTAAAACACTTTCTATGTTATTGCGACCTAACTCGTACTAAATCTCAAATACAAGACAAATCTCAAATACAGACCGTTGGTTTAACCAGAGTGTTCTTATATATAATACATATAACACGTACGTTCAGAGTATATGTGCGTATGACAGTTAAGTATTCCACAGTAAATTGCTGCTATAAGAAAGATGAAGAGAATAACTTGTTTTTTTATTAGATATCCAGCCGGACGTAACTCACACGACGTCTGGAGCGCGTCGCGGCGGCGCCCACATCGCCGATCGCGTACAATGCTACGCTCAACCAGAGGACACTGGCACTGGCACTGGCAGATGGAAGGTAATTACATCCTCCGTCCAGTCCACTCATTTTTAATGTAAAATAAAACCGTAAAATACATTTCTATGTTTGCTTCATATTGCGTCTTCAGTAAGTAAATTTAATATATTTTTAGGTGCTATTTAGTATATTTTTAGCTAAACTTTATATATTTTGAATAAGATTTATTATACTGAAAAATATATTATAAATCTGGAAAATCAATAATTTCAATAAATCAATTACTTGTAGGTGTCCGCAAAAATACAACAATTACTAAACACATTAAAGCGGCCTAAACGCCGACCACTGCCAGAGTTTTACGAAGACGATGACATTGAATTAGAGATAGCTGCTAATCCTAAAGATCCAAATGCACCCAAACCAGAGGGCGGTACAATGACTCCAGCGGTTGGGGAGCAACTTGTCGTGCCAGCAGGGCTACCACGAAACCTAGAAGCCGCTTTACAAAGATACGGAACAGCGTCGTTTAAAGCAAATGTTGCCACTGTACTCGATCCCAATGGAAAGCTTAGTAATTCCCTCACTTATGGTAAGTTTTATTGAGATTCAATCTTTTATATATATATATATATATATATATATATATATATATATATATATATATATATATATATATATATATTCAGAAAATAATTGAATCCGTTAACTAACTATAACGTTTTTGTTGTCAGGAAAGCTTTTGAGCCGTTCACTGAAAATAGCTCACGCGGTGCTAAATAAAACGTTCACATCAAAAAGTAGTAGCGGTGGTCCTCTCACTGGGGACAATTCAATTAAGCCGGGCGACAGGGTGGCCCTAGTGTATCCGAATAACGATCCTATAAACTTTATGTGTGCGTTCTACGGGTGCCTTCAGGCGGGCATAGTGCCCGTTCCCATAGAGGTGCCTCTCACACGACGTGACGCCGGACTTCAGCAAGTCGGTTTCCTCTTAGGCTCCTGTGGCATTCAGTACGCCCTCACCTCTGATGCCTGTTTAAAAGGTATGCTTATACATTTTGATTTATATTTTTAAGTAAATAAATATAACATCTAGAATTTTTTTATAATTATTTTATGTAATATACTGTTACTTGAAGTGATTAATTTGTATCTTTTCTCAGTCAACTCATTATTTAAACATAAATAGCAGCTAACATGCTTTATTATAAAAATAAAATTGTAACCATTCTTGTGATATTTGAGTTCCAAAATATCTTGCTACTAAAATATTTCTAAAGTTAACTTATCGTTAGCTTGTTATCGATAGAAATTAGCAGTAACGAAATTTCATGAGTCTAAGTTCGTAGGTAGATCAGATTGAACACTCACACCTGTACGTTATTGGTTTAGGCGCTGTCAGCGTTCACATAAACCGTTTATATGACGCCATCCACCCACCGTTGGCTAATGGCGACGAGAGGGTGTTAATTTCATTTTAATTTCATAAAAGTTTCTGCAAAATGAAGTTGGAAATTTTCATTATTAATCCTTTCGATATTTCGACTTTAACCTTTAATATTAACATCTAAGATATTCACTAAATAAGTATGGGACACACATAACCGAACAGTCTGTAGAAATTACAATAATCCATTTCATTAATTATTTCAAGAAGCGTGTAGTGGTTTTGCCATCTACTGTGGTATTAATTTGAATTTAGGCATATTAAACATAAGTAAGTAATTAAATAAATAGCTCCAAAACGACACAAAATACGACAACAGCTAAAGTCTAACAATAAATAGTAGATATATCGAAATTTATCTAAAATTGGCAAGAAAATAATTTTAATTTCTTCCAAGTCCCATGAGTGCTCCCGGTTAGTCAGGTGTAGTAAGCAAATTAATTTTATATGTAAAGATAATGTTTCGATAGGTAATAATGTTTAGGTAAATCTTGGCCGTTGAAATTGAAATGTTAGAATTTTAAAGTTATTACATACTCGTATTTTAAATATTTACGATATTATAAGCTGAAATTTAACATAGTTGCAAAATCGACTGAGTATAAATTTGGAATCTAGCTTCAGTAGGTTGCCTTTGTCTACTCTCTAAGGACTTTAGCCTGAAGCCATACCTTTTACCTCTATTGTTGCAAGCTGTCGCTTTGCCTTTTGTGTTGAAGTTCGCGGGTTCGGTCTCAGTGGCCTCAGTAAGTAAGTATATAAGTTTGTAAAAGCTTAAAGCTAAAATGCCGAATATTCTGGTTCGAAGACTTTTAGACTGATATAAATATTACACTCAACCCAGGTCTACCAAAGACGTCATCAGGCGATGTGGTTTCCTTCCGAGGGTGGCCATCATTGCAATGGGTGTCGACAGAGAAGTTGCCGCGGCCCCCCCGCGACTGGATACCCCCGCCGCGCCCCGCAGAGGACAGTCCCGCGCACATAGAGCACACGTCTGCAGCAGATGGCTCGGCCATGGGAGTTATTGTTACTAGGTGAGTCCTAAAGATAAAGTTTGAGAAATGGCTCGCTTCGCTTCGGGTTCGTCCGTAGTCAAAAACAAGTCTATGCCTAAGTAACTGTACATTTTTCCGGGATTAATAGTAACCTAAGTGCTATTCCAGACTATAATCTATCTCTGTGCCAAATTTCATCCAGATCATCCGTTCTCATCAGCAGATCCGTTCAGCCATTCTGGCGTGAAAGAGTAACAAACATCCATACATACAAACTTTCTTGTTTATAATATTTATTTATACACATATACTCGTATAATACGGATAATATTAGTATGGATTTTATGTTTGATATGTCTGTTATGTATGTATGTACAATGTACATATATTATACAGTGTTTTTTGCTGTGCTGCTATTTTATTCAGTCCATGCTGTTGGCGATGTGAGGTTGAGTTTTCCTTTAGTTGATTTCAGTTGAACAAAATAAATGGTGCACTAATTTCAAAGTAACGTATCTAATCAATTGTATTGCACCGTATCTGTTATCGACTACATTTCAACGACTATCGATAAATCTTTATTATTATAGGTGCTTTACTATCTTAAAACATGTTATTAAATTTGAAAAGATATAACATCAATGTAATCTTAACAGGCATTAAAGTTAATTCATTACATAGCTGCAATATTGCACTCGTTGTGGAAATTTAAATATTTATTATTTTACAAATCTAACTTTAGCGTAATGCCATGGCATCATATTATTATAACAAAATACATATTTTGTACTGAAAGGACTTGAAAATAATTGAATCCGCATAACTTTTTTATGTATCATTAGTAACTTAACACCTACAGGTAAATTTCTAAGAAATTGATTAAAATTCTAAGAAATCTATTGTTAGCTGACACGCCGGCGTGTCCGCGGTTGTGGAGGGATTAAGATCTTAAAATGTATAGGTTTATTTTCACCCATTAATAGTTACAAGGTTAAAACATATTATAAGCATGCAAGCATCCTGATGCTACACAGACGTCGTAAATAAAATAATTCAATCTTCACACGTCTATAATCAAGAAATGTTGTTTAGCTAATGGAATAAACTTTTAGCTATTGCACATGACGGTTTTAATATAAGTATTTGGTATTTTGCATTTTTTTTTAAACTACATTTTATATTAAAAAAAATATATTAATTCTTTTCCGATAACGTAACTATTGAGCAATTACGATACAGATTAAATGTAACGCCGTGTTTAACTTTAATATATATATATATATATATATATATATATATTCGCCATATTCTGGGTGTGTCCGTATGTTGTATGAACTATGTGTCACGGACCCCAATATAAGGTGGAGGGGCCGTTGACTGTGTAGCGTCCATTTATTTATTTCCTTTGACACAGTTAGATAACACGTCTATTCTGATAATATCAAGCCGAACATTGATTGTTCTTAAGTTTTTTCCCTCTTGCCGGATGCTTCGAGTGGGCGGTCTAATGGACGAGGTAATTACTACAAAGTAGGACCCATCCATACCCAATGTTGCGCGAGCGCAACATTTCAAATTTGTTTTTTTTTTGTTTTAAAAATAAGGAAATAAATCTATGACATGTAAGCCAGTCTCGAGAAGAAGAAGTAAGAGATGGATTCAAATTTTTTCTAATGATTTTTTATATACAAATACATTTTATTTTTATTTTTCAATAACTGCTTATTGAGTCTTCTCAAGATCGACAGATTCATCCAATCATAAAAAATACTAATTGAAGTAAAGCTATACTTCTTTCACGGCATAAAGCTTTAGCAATATCTTATTTATGATATAAACGCTTTTGTTGGACAAAACTTCTTACCAGTGTTGTTTATCTTAGACTTTCAGGAAGCGTTGCGTATGCGCAACGTTGGGAGAAATAATGATCAGTTGTGATTGTTACACAGCTTGCCATTGATGCTAGAAATTTATTGTAAACAATGGGTTCTCGGTATTCAAAGTATACAAGCATTTTTGTTTTATTAGTTAGTCGGCTACAGAACGCCAAGCTAACCGTGTCACATAGTAATTCTTAATAAATGATAAGTGAGACTCCACAAATCAGTGAATAAAAAGTAAAAATTGAAACATTATGGCTTGGCAACGCGCATCATTTTATCACGAAATACTGATTATATTAGAACAGGACTTAGAAGATGCCATTCATATCGATGCCGTGTACATCGCCCCGATGGTTGACAATCTTACAGACGAGGAAGACCTAGATGATGACGCGCTAGGTGATTACGACAATACTGTGCCCACTGATATCGCTGGAACGTATGAAATCCACACCAATTTACCCGCAGAGCCTAAAAATACACTTGGTGAGCCCGGTTCTACAACAACGAAAAAGCGAAGACTGCCGAAGAAGTCACCAAAATGTGTTCGAGACTGGAAAAACTGAACTATTGGTTCGATGGGCTGACAATTCTGTGGTGAATGTGGCTACTAACAACGCAAAAATCGAACCATTGGTTACAGCAAAACGTTACGATAGAAAAATAAAAAAGATGGTGAATGTGCCGCAGCCCCAGGTTATAGCATTATAATAAAAATATGGGAGGTGTAGATCTCCATGATAACGGAATAGCCAATTATAGGATTCGAGTAAGAGGGAAAAAGTGGTGGCGGCCACTGTTCATCAATTTGATAGACAGTGTTTTGGTAAAGTGGAAAATTTACAATCTGGCGAATGAGCGATCTTTGAGTCAAATGGAATTCAAATCTTACGTTGCTGTAGGTTTGATGAAAACCGAAGAAGCCCAACTTGCAGATAATTCGCATTTTTGGGTAATTCAAATACAAATCTAGGAACACCATCCAAAAAGGTGGTGGTCCAATATTAGCTTCAATAATATTGGTCTTGTCATAGAAGAGCACGAAAGTAAACGTCGAAGATGTCGACAGTGTCTTCTACACTTTACATGTGTAAAAAATTTCAAGTACATCTTCATGCTGATTGTTTTAAAATATATCACTCACGCTAATACTCTAGTGTTGTTAGACTTGCTAGTAAAATTGAAGTCCAATAATCCTAACGTTGCTTAGACGCAACATTTTGCGGAATGTAAACTAATTAATAAAAAAAAAAATTACTATAATTTTCTCGTTTTGGATGTATTTATAAACGTAATAAACAATAAAACCAATAAATATTGCGTTTATTTTTACCTTTGGGAATTAATAGAGACGAGTAGGTAGACATATCAAATTCAGTTCATTTCGATTGTGGTGCTTGTAATCTTTGTAATGATCTTTTCTTGCAAAATAAACCTTTTATTGTACATGACGTTTAATTAATGTCAGAATATTGTAACTGCAAAAGGCAGATTAAATATTCCAATCAGTATCGGGTATACTTTCACTCTCTCTCTTTTTAAAATTTCAAATACCCTTTGAGCTTCCACTTTAATTACAAGAAGCCTTGTTGTCAGCCACCGTTCTAGGCTTAATCAATTTTTGAGATCCTTGTATTTTGGCTGTTTATAATCTCATAAAATTTGTTTTATGAAATTAAAATAATAATTTTTGATTTGATTAATTATATGTTAATAAGATCTATCCTTAAAAATTTCAATGATTAATAAACAAAAGGTGTGAAAAATAATAAATTAAAATGTAAAACCTCTAAAGTTTTATAACTTTATAGGCAACACAATAGATTTAAATTGCAATGTGGTTGCTATATTAATGGACTCGCTATTAAGCTCCGCTCTACAACATTCGCGGTTATAATAATAAAACACAATATAGTCTATATAAATACGGCTCGCACAGAATACTTTATCTACAACCACACAGTTTGAATGTATAACATATTGTTATGGGGTAAACCAAACGATTTTGATATTTACGATTTTGACCCCGGAAAAAGAGCTACTTAAACAATTTAGCATCCTAGAGTTTCTTTAAAATATTGATTTAAGAAAATTAATATACCTGTTAAAAACAAGTTCTTAAAAACGTTTATGAAAATATTATGTATGTTTGCAAATACATATATTAATGATTTTCCCAAGAAGTGTGACATACAAACTTAATATCAGAAGTAAACACAAACTTGTACAGTCTATGACTCGGTACATGTAGTCAGTGATTATTTTTATGAACAATATATAAAATACTAGCGACTCACCGTCGCTTTGCTCTGGTTTGTCCCTAATTTTAACGGTTAGTATGAAATACGAGTCCTTGAATTTCTGTACTATAATATGCATGTATTGTACATATAAACTTTCCTCTTGAATCACTCTATCTATTAAAAAAACCGCATCAAAATCCGTTGCGTAGTTTTAAAGATCTAAGCATGCATAGGGATTAGGGATAGACAGACAGCGTTAAGCGACTTTGTTTTATACTATGTAGTGATGCGTTTTTAAAGGATCTCATAAAATACGCAAAAAGCTATTCTAGTTTCAAAAAAATGTAAATGAACGCCCTTACTTTAATGGCTGTTGACTATTTATGCAAGTCCGTTGCTATTCGAGTAATAATTCGAAAGAATAAAAATAAAAAGTTGCTCGACCATTGTTGGATTAACATTTCATCTGCGATCTTTTCAGTTACTTCAAAAAAAAAGTTATAAAAAATTCTAAGTGCAAGAGTTTCTATACAAAAAACTAACCTATCGAAATACAAATTCAAATATTAATTCTAGCCTACCGAGTTATATAGATTTTTAAACATTCGATCTTATATGTAGATATTTGGAGCTTAATATTTTAACTATAGATATTTTAAAAATCTTGATTAGACAACAGTTTGGGAGTTGTTTTTTATTAGAACAGGGAAAAGTTTTATCTATATAGTTGATCTTACTAGATTTCGTTGACTTTCGTTTCGTTTTGGTTGTCGGTTCACCATATGGGAATTTTACCGAAATTGATTAATTAATTAATTTACTTTGAGATTCTTTTTACTATTTTTTCTTAGGACTGAAACTTTCAAATTTGCAATAGGATTTGACAGAGACATTTAGTAACGAATTTGTAAAAAATTAAATGATTGTTTTGATTGACAAATTTAAGTTTTTTTATTTGATTTTTGTTTAGTTGATTTTAAATACATATTATTATATATATAATGTCCTCGATCTATACACAAAAAAAGCATTATTATTTAAAGCAAAAGGTATACTGTTGAATGAAGTACTCCGTTGAAGAATAAATTATATATTAGAAAAGAATATTCTTTCCATGAATTATATCATGTTTATAAATAATCTTCTCGAAAGCCATAACGGGTCGTGATTACATAGTATTTGAATTTAATTCACAAAATTAATTGCAGGTCATCAATGCTAGCTCACTGTCGTATGCTATCAGTGGCCTGCAATTATACGGAGGGCGAACACATGGTGTGCGTGTTAGACTTCAAGCGGGAAACAGGACTGTGGCATGCTGTTCTTGCGAGTGTCCTAAACGGCATGCACGTCATATTCATTCCTTATGCTCTCATGAAAGTCAGTCCAGCCTCTTGGATGCACATGATCACAAAATACAGGTACGAAATTACCATTTCATTATAATACTAGCGACTCACCCTTGCTTCGCTCTGGTTCGTCCCTAGGTACGTTTTAACGGTTAGTATAGAATAGATGGACTGTATATTATATGTATATATGAATATATATATATGAAATAATCTTCGGCAAAATATCCTATGTCACTTTCCAGCCGTCCAACTATCTCCACACTCCATCACCAATCCGTCACTTTGTTTCGACGTGAAAGAAGGACAAACATACAAGCACACTTTCACATTTATAATATTAAGTATGAATATGGATTATGGGTATTATTAAGGAAAGTTTCACGAAAATTTATTAACTTCTAAATACATGTTCCTTTCTGTAACTTATTAATTTGTTTCCAAAGGATTTAAATAACATTTGCATCCAAGCACTTTTTATTAATCTTCTTTGATTAGAAACATAAGAAAATTGTGTCCTAAGGCAATTTATAAAGGTATTTTATTTCTTACCACGCATAAAGTACCATTGCCCAATATATTTATTCTGTGGCTTACCGAAATTTCTAATATTCGTACTACGGGCTTGCTTATAAATTGTATCTACTATCTGTAAGTTAATAACAAGTGAGTCAAGACGTTGTAATAGCGACATGAGTAATGTTACTGAGTGAATGATTCATTTAAACGGAGTCACAAATAAAAAGCGACATTTACCAGGGCATCGGTGGCGATCGTCAAGTCACGTGACCTGCATTGGGGTCTACTGGCGACACGTGACCACAAAGAGATTTCACTTAGTTCCCTGAGAATGCTTTTGGTCGCGGATGGAGCTAATCCTTGGTCTCTGTCGTCGTGCGATCAGTTCCTCTCCGTGTTTCAAAGCAAAGGTTTGTATTCAAACATCGATATTGTCCGTAAAAGACCACTTTAAAATCACAATAAACTTATGGAGCACTTACATCTGTGGAGGTTATACTTTAGGTTCAGTGTTCATTTAATTTGGTTTACTAACATCTATTTTACATATTATTGACATAAAATTACAACACCAATAATTTAAAATGTTACGCAATATACAAAATACCTATGTACATATGATCACATACAGTGCGTGATGCGTGGAAAGGCGATAAAATATTTTTTTTATAAGAAAGATATAACGTCATACATTAATTATTCATTCAATATCAAAAATTGTGCATTGTTTTTATAAAACATTGGAACTTCAGATTTGCTATAGATACGCTTACGCACAATACAAATGTCATGTGGAGTGTAGATATATGCATACACAATTTTCACTTGAAGACCCTATGACCAAATCAACCTAATTATTTGTTTTGATCACCTTATTGATTGTACAATAGATGGGAGATAATCAAGGCTTGTACCAACAGGAAATAAATAGAACAATTGTTTAAATCTTAGATCACATAGGTGACAAATTAAATCCTTATTTTGTGTAGTATAAAATGACTTTGGTAACAAAGTGCACTAGTATTCATACTGAAAGTAGTTTTGAAGTACTTATTACGTCATTTTAAATCACTTGTCAGTGATTGTTACTCGGTGATACGCGAAATTCTAGCTGCCTAACAGATAAAATATAAAAACTTAAATTTTTAAATGGCTTCGTGTGCATATAAGTTTTTCCTTACAACATTCAGCGCCATCTATTGATACGTTAAGAATTAGTGTGTGGTTAAAATAATATTAAATTATTATTTTAAAGGCATTCTTCATCCAAATACCGTTAATGCGCGTTTGAGCTAACGCCTAATATATATTAATAGTAGGGTCAAAGGTCAGGGCTATTTATATTCTATTCCCTTATATTATTATAGTTCTTTATTTCGTTTGGATGCGTCCCTAGGTGCCAAGCAGTAGCTTATATTACTCCACGTCAATGTGTATTAAATTTCATCCAAATTAAATAAAAACAAATACAAATCAATAACTTGACGGCACGTTTGACTCAGTTTGTAGTGACCCTACATGCTGTGCCAGGGTCGCGGGTTCGAGTCCCCCTAGGATCATTCATTTGTGTGATGAGCACGAATATTTGTACTCTAGTAATGAGTGCTTATATTTATAATATGGATGTATTTAAAGTTACATATGTGTAGTGTATCAACTATCTATTATCCATAACCCAAGCCTCGTAGCTTACCATGGAACAAGATGGTTCTATGTGTTAATGTCCCAACATATTAAAATTTAAACACGAGCCGTATCACCCAGGTGTGCGTGGCGATGCAATATGCCCATGCGCCTGCAGCAGTGAGTCTCTCACAGTTTGCGTGAGGCGAGCAGGGCGCGGGGGCTCGTCCGCCGGCCGCGGGGTGCTCTCCATGTCGGGACTCTCATATGGTGTCGTCAGAGTGGACGCTGAGAACTCCCTAACATCACTCACCCTGCAGGACTGTGGACAGGTTATGCCGTCTTGTGAGTATTATTTTCATTTATTTTTTCAGATACACAGTAGTAATTACAAAGAAATTTATATACATACACTAGCAGTACCCACGGCTTGGCCCGCGTTCCCACTACTAAAAAAACAAACTCTTTGACACACCGACAGAAGCGCCACCTACCGGGTACAATTGTATTTTCAAACCATCCAGGAGCCAAACCGCTTCAGCTCTTTAGGAGGAGTAAGGTGACAAGCACACGTACAGAAAAAAAGATTAATTATTGTAAATATTTTGACATGTTACTGATATCACTCGCAACTAATACATAGGCAATGTCGTCTAGGGCAATAATACGGGGCGCGCGACTGTCATACTTGCTTTTGACATCATATGCGTTGGAAAATGGCTTTAGGGTTAATAGATATTGGTACCATGAACATTGATATTTTTTGACAGCTCTTGTCTTGTAGTTATGATCCAAGGCTGCTCAACTGTTGTATGGACTTTTTACTGTGCTTGTACTATTTAATAGATATCATAAATCCATGTTATTGCGCGTATGTGTTAATATATAATAAAAATAGTTATTGCGAGTGTACTTTAGGAGACAGGTATATACTATTGTGGACTTTTCTGTAGACCTTTTTAAGACCTACAATTTTCGTGTACAATATTTCGATGTATCTCTTAGGGTTTAGCCAGCGTTAGCCATATAAATTTCTAAGGACGACTTGATAAACCCAGTTATTGTATTTTTCCGTGGGAAAGAAAGATTTTCCTGGATTAAAAGGTATCCTAATTGTTAACCTGAGTAATCGAGTAAAAAGTCGCCGAGTAAAGTTATCACTTCACCAAATTTCGTTGAAATCGATTAATTATTTTTGCGTAAAACGCGCTCACATAAACAGACATACAGACAAACATTTTTTTTAATAACAATCGTTTTGGGCTCCATATTATGTACATATTACGTTACAGTCATTGTTTTTAAAAAATATTTCATGTACAGACTTTACTGCTTTACTATTGTACAGATTACAATCTGATTGTATATCAAGTACTTATTGTTGGCCCTGAAATCAAATAATTATGTAGATATTGACTTGAATTGAATATTTCATTTTATTTCTGTTTATTTTTTAAATACACATGCAAGTAGAATATAAAGTAAAGTTTTAATAATAAAACCACATTTTCGGTCTAGACGAAATCGATATATAGTTACAGATGTCGAAATTGTCGATTTTCCCACGTCATGAGTAATTGTGCTATATAAAATTTAATGCGTAATATTTGAATCATATAGAATATTCTGAAACTCGTAATTCTTTTAATATATTCTGCAAATATTTTTCTTCAATATCAATATAATATAAGACAAAACACATAGTTAAATCAATTATTTAATGTATTTTTTGTTAACATGTAATTAGGTAGATAATATTAGAAAATTCCTATTTTCATCAAAATCCAAATTAATTAATATACAAAAAACTTACATGCAATGTTTTTTAGAAACATAAAGTACTCTATGCGCTAATACTGTTAAAAGCTAAGCTAGAGAAATGCTTAAAGTTCATGTAACCTTACCTAATGGCTTAAATGAACGTATAAGCCAGTTAGTAATACTAGCATCTATAACGTGTGGAAATTTGAAGCGCAATTCCTACGGACCTATGCAGTGAATAGCTTATTTCAAACATGCATCGATATTACATTTCCATTGAGGCGGTTCAAAAGCCAGCACAGTTATAACATTTAGTATACGATATTCACAGTCTCTAAAGACATATTTCATTTATATTTCGAATGAAAATATTAATAAAATATAGGTATTTGCTCTTACTATTCCTGTATGTATACATAGTTGATAGTATCCTATGAAAAACATAACATGTAAAAAATTGCAATCCTCGCAAAGCAGTTCTTCTAACACAAAAAATTTTGAGATCGAATGTAAAACCAAATCGGTTAATTTATTCAGTACTTATGTATGGAAGCATCTATCCAACAACTTTGTGATATTATAGTGACCGCATCAATATTATATATTAAAGTACGAGAATGGTTCTTACGGAGAGAAAAATTTAAAAAATTGCCTGAAAAAGTCTAAAAACAACACTTTTCTATACTCCCATGCAAAAGATTCGTAATAATACTTAAAAGTTAATTTGAACTATAACCATAAAGTATAAGTGTTAGTGGAGAGGTTCCGGGGAAGGCAAAACAATTGAGTGACGTTAATATCCTATAAATATTAACGTCAACATTTGTCAATATTATTAACAAAAAAAAATTATATTGCTATAAGAATTATATTTATATCTATTTAAAACGTACCTAGTGATGAACCCGAGGGAAGCAAGGGTGAGCCGTTAGTTTAAAATAAAAATAATTCATCCAAAAACTTGTATGTATCCAAATAAAGTTTAACAAACATCTACGTAACTACTAAGTGCATGTTGCGGTAAAATATATTTGTTGGTCAATTCACGATTTTATCGTGCTTTAAAAGATGAAATCAATGCAATCATAATATGTTATAAGGCAACCAGAAAACTTAAGAACCTAGATATAATTTGCGGTTGTCACAAAACTCCTTAGTTTACTAAACATATGTACGATTAATACGTACATCGAGCTTAACATCTGAAACCACTAAATCGAATAAGTACAATAACATTATTATAATTGTTATTATAGGAGTAGTGATGGATTTGCTTGCTTTTATATTGGCTTTTAGTTCGCGATAACTAAATGTGACATTCGTTTTATTTAGATTGAAAGCCAATCAGAGCTTAAAAGAAATTAAAATGTATTTTGATCCTACTACAGATTAAAATAAAATTATCTATATTTTAATTTTTAATCTTTTAGTTTTAATTCCAAATCATTTTTAAATGAAACGCAGAATAATATTTAAAAATCTGGATTATACAATTCAATCACGACACAATCAGAAGTATTAACTGTACTATTTTGACTCTATATTTATTTCTACAGGCGTGATAGTTGTAGTGAAAATGGAGGGTCCAGCTTTTCTTTGCAAGACGGATGAAGTGGGGGAGATATGTGTGCTCTCTGGGGCCACCGGGTCTGGCTATTGGGGACTGCCCGGTCTCACTAACACGGTGTTCAGAGTGCAACCCCTAGACTCGGATGGGGAGCCCATAGGAGAGGAGCATTATATTCGAAGTGGATTGCTTGGATTTCTTGGACCGGGGGGTGAGTATTGTGCATTTTTTATGTTATTTTGTATTCAGCCCTTTTGTAAAATCCCGCTGCCATCAGGCCATAGTCCACCACGCTGGCCAAATGCGCGCGGACTGAGAATGTCTTTCGAAAACTTGCTAGGTTTTTTCAGACATGCAGGTTTCCTCACGATGTTTTCCTTCGCCGTAAGGCAAGTGGTAATCATGTTGGAAATGATTCGCACATGAAAATATCAGAGGTGCGAGACCCGGGATTTGAACCAGCTTCACTCGGTTTCTCAAGCGAGCGCGTTACCATTGGGCTATCACTACCTGATTTTGTTTTGTTCACTACTTATTAAAGTGTCATCGCAAAGTGCAGACTTTCACTCGACCGGTAGTTTAGTAAGGCTAGCAGTCTTTATGGATATGTAGCCCACCTACGTAGGTTCTATTCGTACTATAGAATGTATGCAACTTATATTTCATATTTGTTCATTTAATGTGGAATATAATGAAAAAAAATGGTGGTCAAAGTTAAATTTATTAAACTTACAACAATTTCATGCCAATTAACAATATATGGACTTAGTATGTTTTAGCAATGACACTAATTAGTATCAAAATATTCCAGCCACATTAAAAATAAATCTAACATTATCGAAACATGTAACATATTAGACCGTAACTTAATACAGGTTTAGTATTCGTGTGCGGGTCTCGCGACGGTCTGATGACGGTAACCGGCAGGAAACACAATATGGACGATATCATAGCCACAGTGCTGGCTGTGGAACCCATGAAGTTTATCTACAGGTAATAACACGTTTTGCATTGTAGCCTTTTGTATTATTAACTAGCGAGTTGACCTGGCTTTGCCTGAGTGGAAAGTAACACACAAACATACGTACACGAGACGTGCATATGTATGTATTTACACGTCTTTGTATTACCTTTTGTGTGTGTGCTAATAAATACTCAATTACCCTATTAGTTTGAATATTATTCATAAATACTGTTAGAAAAATTATTATATCGCAAGTATGTGCAGAACAACTCACCGAAGAATTACTACAATTTGATTAATGGTGTAGGAACCCAAAAAAAACTTCCTTTTATTTAACCTCTCAGTTGATGAGAATGTAATATATTTTAATCACACACTACCTTGCTATGCGCTTTTATAGTTGCCTAATCAACAACATGGCAACTTTATACTAAACTAGCGACTTACCCTCGCTTCGCTCGGGTTCGTCTCTAGGTACGTTTTTATTTTTTTTGTACGGGACCTTAATTCTTATTCTAAAATAAAAGTAGCCTACGTTACTTTACTCCTTATAATATTAGCTATCTGCCAGTGAAAGTCTCGTCAAGATAAGTCCAGCCGTTTCGCAGATTAGCCAGAACAAACAGACAGACAAAAATTTTAGTAATATAATATGTTGGGACATAATACTAATACTAAATAAAATAGTACTATAATATATATATATATATATATATATATATATATATATATATACTATAGAACATCTTCACTAATACATATAAATACCGATACTAGTATTTATACATATACATACGTATTAAGTAATTCCATGATGGTTGCAGAGGTCGCATAGCAGTGTTCTCTGTACGCGTGTTGCGCGATGAGAGAATTTGTATAGTTGCTGAGCAGCGGCCTGACTGTGGAGAGGAGGAGGTGAGTGTTACTGCTCGAATGTTTAATATTTTACAACTACCTGCAATAACTAACTTTCTGTATTGACTTTTGTTATTCTAATAGGCACTTGAAATTATTTTTTAAATGACTACATAAAACTTTTTTCATTGTTTTAATTAAACAAGAAATGAATTCGCATTGGTCGCTAGTATTGCTTAAAACAGGCCTTTTTATCCTCAGTCGTTCCAGTGGATGTCCAGAGTATTACAAGCGGTGGATTCGATACATCAAGTTGGCATATACTGCCTCGCCTTGGTTCAACCGAACTATTTACCAAAAACACCACTAGGAGGTATACATCTTAGTGAATGTAAAAGACGGTTCCTCGAAGGCACCTTACACCCGGCTAACGTACTGATGTGCCCACATACGTGTGTTACTAATTTACCTAAACCAAGGGAAATACATTCAGGTATATATCACGTTACATTTTTGAAATTATTTGTCTGACATATAATTTCTTTTTTATTTATTACATATTTCAACATTCGTTATTTTAAAGGATATTTAGATAATAATCTTTCGTCAGATGTGGGTCCAGCATCAGTGATAGTCGGCAATCTGGTACAAGGGAATCGGCTCGCCTCGGCACAAGGCCGTGATATGGGATACACGGATGATTCGGATGCTGCCCGCAAGGTAACACCTCTTTTTTTATCGTTGGGAAATGCATTTACGCACGAGGTGTGGGACTCACCGGCTAAGCCAGTACTACCCACTAAAATCTTCCCCCGTCTTAATGGGGCGTCGCAGGATCGCTTACGCATTCAACTACGACGCCCCGACGGCAGGTCTGCCGAAGCAGACCACAACAACCACGGGGCTGCTCCAAGGTCCACTCTGCTATCAGAGACGTACCAGGAGCTACCCGCATGGTACACCGCCCCCCGAAGAGGGCCACCTTCCACCGCCCATCGAAGTGGGCCACCTCCCTGTGCGTTTCTTGGCTTCGCGCCCGGCTGTATTGCCGGGCACTACTGAGCCCCCCCACCACGACAAGGTGAACGCACATTGGGGGGGAAGGTAACACCTCTAACTCAATTGGATCTAAATACAAAATAATATTCTACAACAAAATAAAAATAAACGTGTGTGTGTGTACTTACTCGTATGTACGCACGTAACAAGTTATACTTCTTTGGCGTAACAGAACAAAAATAGCTAATGATTTCATCCCGTATGTCTCAATTCTCTGTTTGTAAAAGGAATGCAGCTAACTTCATCATGTCGCTGTCAACTAACATTCTTCATGTCTTTTTTTGGTTGTCGGTATGTGCGCGCATCGTAAAAATTTTACTCTCATATTTTTTTTTCAAAAGTGCCAAAAGAAGTATAACTTCAAAAATAATGTTCATGACTTCTCGTTTTTTTAAAAGCTAATACGATTAACATACAAAAAAGAATTAATTTATATAATGTTTAAAAAATATATTATACTATTCTTTTCGTTATTTACTATCAATGTAATTTGGATGTAAAATAAAAAGTTTCCATTATTTTTTTTTCAGTATCAATTTATATCACAAATACTAAGGTGGAGAGCGCAGAGCACGTCCGACCATGTGATATTTACATTGCTCAATTCGAAAGGTGCCGTGTCCAAAGTGCTCACTTGCGCTGAGTTGCATAAGAAAGCAGAGAGGATTGGCAATCTGTTGCTAGAGAAGGGTCGAGTCAATACTGGCGACCACGTGGCTCTGATATTCCCACCGGGACTTGATCTCATTTGCGCATTCTACGGCTGTCTGTACGTAGGCGCAGTCCCGGTCACAATTAGGCCACCTCACCCTCAGAACTTGCACACGACTCTTCCCACAGTACGCATGATCGTGGACGTTAGCAAGGCCACCCTAGTCCTGTCCAACCAATCTGTGATAAAGCTACTTCGCTCCAAAGAAGCGAGCAGCGTCCTCGACAGCAAAGCCTGGCCCATCACCCTCGATACCGACGATATGCCCAAGAAAAAACTCCCCATATTATATAGGGCGCCGACCGCAGAAATGCTAGCGTACTTGGACTTCAGCGTCTCAACAACGGGAATGCTCGCCGGCATCAAAATGTCGCACGCGGCCGTCACTTCCCTCTGCCGCTCGATGAAGATTGCCTGTGAATTGTATCCATCACGCCATATAGCTCTATGTTTAGACCCGTACTGTGGTCTGGGCTTTGCTCTCTGGTGTCTCAGTAGCATCTACTCCGGGCATCACTCCATCCTAATACCGCCATCGGAAGTAGAAATCAATCCAGCGCTGTGGTTAAGCGCGGTTTCTCAATACAAAGTCCGCGACACATTCTGCTCGTACGGCGTAATGGAACTCTGCACTAAAGGCCTCGGTAGCTCCGTCAATCAACTGAAAGCGAAGGGAATAAACCTAGCATGTGTCAGGACTTGTGTAGTTGTAGCAGAAGAACGGCCTAGAATCAATTTAACAAATTCCTTCTCTAAACTATTTTCGGCGTTAGGGCTCAGTCCGCGTGCTGTTTCGACATCCTTCGGCTGTCGTGTGAATATCGCCATCTGTTTGCAAGGAGCATCTAGTCCAGAACCTTCTACGGTCTACGTGGACCTCAGAGCGTTGAGGAACGACCGCGTATCTCTAGTCGAGCGCGGTAGTCCACACTCTTTATGCTTAATGGAATCTGGCAAGCTATTACCCGGAGTGAAAGTCATAACCGCCAATCCAGACACTAAAGGACAATGCGGAGATTCTCATTTAGGTGAGATATGGGTACAGTCGCCTCACAACGCGAGCGGCTACTTCACTATCTATGGCGACGAAAGCGATTACGCGGACCACTTCAGTGCTCAATTAGTGACCGGTAATACGGGAGAGGTGTACGCCAGGACCGGGTACTTAGGATTTTTGAGGAGGACTGAGATCAGTACGACGAGTGGAGCGGACGATTCTACGTCCTTGCTAGCTCGGGATAGTGACACAGAATCTTTGGCTTCGGCTTGTGGGAGTGTATCAGGACTAGGCTCCGACTCTCACGACACTCACGATGCTGTGTTCGTAGTGGGAGCTCTGGACGAGACGATAATGCTTCGGGGCATGAGATATCATCCCATCGATATTGAGAACTCCGTTATGAGATGCCACAAGAAAATTGCCGAGTGGTACGTATGTTGTCTGTTATTATATCCTAGTATTTATACAATTTAAATTTTTACAAGTTTATGATTATATAACATACAAACGGTATTAAATATTATTTAAATAATAAGTAATTTTGGTTCATTAATGACTTTCTCTAATTGTTATAGGTATTATATAATTTTAATGGCTATAAATTATAAAAAATATCATCTTTAACCGTTGATTATAATATCGATAGATGATAATAATGATCATTATTAAATTAAAAATGTGAATATCTTTTCTAGTGCGGTGTTCACGTGGACGAATCTGCTAGTGGTGGTAGTGGAGCTGGACGGCAACGACAGTGAAGCCCTGAACCTGGTGCCACTCGTCACCAACACAGTGCTCGAGGAGCACCACCTCATAGTGGGGGTGGTGGTGGTGGTTGACCCTGGAGTGGTGCCAATCAACTCACGTGGCGAGAAACAACGCATGCACTTGCGGGACGGCTTTCTCTCCGACCAAATAGACGCTATATATATAGCTTACAATATGTAACTGCGGTCTAAACACATCGCACGCTTGAACACGCCGTAAGTACAATTCAAACGGTCTAAGTTGACCCGTCTGAAGTTAGTGCAAGTGGCGACACAACAGAGGTTGTTATAGCTGAAGCGAAACTCACTTCAGTCAACTTAGATTGTGCGCGTTGTAAGGAACTTTAATCCGCAAAGACCACGTGTCAATCGTACGATCTGAACTGTCCCAACGCTAAGTTAGTTTACTGTGAACTTTATATTCATTTCACACAATTTGACTGTTTTAGAGTTATGTTTTTTTAATAATATACTTTTTAAATCTATTTCACTTGTTTTGACACGATATGTAATTGTACAATTTTATATCTTTTGCAATATTTTTGATTGTTAATATATATTTTAAAGCATAGCTTTATATGTAATTTTATGAATGCCTAATTTACTCTGTGGCTCAATTTGTAATGGCGCAATGGCAAAAGTAGAGTCGGGATCGTGAGATTTTTAACATGTATAATGTATTAACTGGGTGTCAACGGGGAAGCTGACTAGGCCGGTGGTATTACGTGTATTCGAAATTAAATATCTTAATGTATCGTCACGAGACTGATGAGGTTCGAAATTGCTAGTTTTAATATAATAATATATTTGAAAGGAACAATTCTTGACAAGACGGCAGCATGTTGCGTTTGCCGTCAACGATAATACGATTAGTTTCAAGTTTTTCTAATGTTCGGCTAAAATATATCTTACGTTAAGTAGAGTTCAGTAGACAGTTATAGTCGATGAGCATTTTGCTTATACCATTTTACTATAGACGGTTGGGTATTTGACATGTAATAGAAAAATACAAAACGGTCAGTATTTGTCATAATTGTTCTGAATTAAATGTAAGTCATATAAACTACGAGCATTTAAATTAATATTTGTTTTCCCTGCTCATACAAAATTCCAGTCAAATACCTAATTATATTGTTGTGATTATTATGAAGCAAGTAACGTCTAATGCTAGTTTGTATGTAAATGTAACTGTATTACTTATGGTAATATTTTTAGCGTTAGTTATTATTGGTAAAACAGAAGTGTATTGCATTTAATGTGTTATTAGTTTGGTTTTTATGTTCTTATCCTTACTAATGGCAAGTTTTTGATTTCTCGAAGGACCCTGGTTGACATGACGTATGATATCAAAATAATATATCGATTTGTTTTGTAGCGAGTATAGATATCAGTGAGCTTGTTTATAAGTAGATTAGTATTTCGATTGCCTTCTTCTGTAGCAATGACTATTTACAATGGAAAAGGGTTATTATATTACGATTAATGTGTATTCAATGCAATATATTATATTATTCTTCGGGTAGTATTTGTACATTAAAATACTTTCTCCACTTTTAAATGTTTGATCTACTTTGTTTAGACGAAATATATCGAAGGATGTAGCTCCCCTCATGAACAAAAATGAAGCATTGGGGAGAATCTTATATTATAGTACATGGTGTTGTCATATTAAATGTTATACTTTGGTATCCACTAATAATTTTCATAACTCGACGAAAGAGCATTCATACTGTGCCAATAATTTCACTTTTAGGTACTCGATTGAAACATTCTATTTGATACTATATAATACCGTTAATACCGTAGATAAACCTGGATCGATTTATAACTCAAACTAAAGAGTAAAATTATAATAAAAAAAAATAAGTTCAATTATAAATCAATTCGATGTTTATTGAAATCACAACTCACATCTGGTATTATTTAACAGAAAACTTCATTTCTATGGTTATTGCCCTTTATCTTTATAACCGTGCTCTGGATATGTATTCGATTATATGATATAATTTTCTTATATTGATGTTTATTAAAGCTTTACTTTCCTTTTCAGTCAGACGAATTATTTGTTGTCGTAGCACTCCATGTGTAGAAATCCTTGCTGACAATCTTTAGGAATATCAGTGTAGTCAATTTAAGCTAGTATATTACATTTCGTTTGTTAGCTTACTCCATTCCAATACATCCTATGTTATTACATATAATCAAGAAAAATAATGAATTTATTTTCATCTACATATTAGATTTTATTATTTACATTCTTTTATTATTATTATTTTTTTGTAATTATTTATTGCTAAATTGTACATATAATTTTGTTGTTTAATTTTATATTTAAATGATTTCTGTTTAATTTTTATGATTTGATAGCAACAATCAGTGCATATGGGAGACGAAAGTGGTAATTAATTATATTATTATATTCAAAATTGCTTTACATTCTTATTTCACTTATGTAATCTTTTACTTTTTTCTTTTCAAACATAGTCATATTACAATATAAGTATACAAGTAGATGTGTAACTCGTGTTAATGAACAATGTCTTATTTGTAATTCTTCTATAATAATAATGCATAATATATAGGTTCGAGGTCCTGCAGTAAATTTTAAATATTTATTAATTAAAAATTTGAAACAATATGTATTAAACCTTATTTGAATTTTCCATATTTCAATTATAAGTAATTTTAATGAATACAACATTTCGTAAGATTAAATGTTTATATAAGTATGTAACGCACAAAATTGTAAACGTTTTGGCAACTTTGTGGGAATCAAAGTTTTTTAAAAGATTCCTTGTATTTTACTTTATTGCCAAAAATGGTCTGTTAGGACTTTGTAACCGCTTTTACAATTGTGATTTTTTTCTGACACATGAATAAATAAACATGCATTCTGATTAATATGTGAGTTTTACATTTAACTTCCTTAAGTTTTAAATAGTTCAAAACAATACGTATATAAATTCCACGCTTGCTTGTTTTATTTTGAAGGAGATAAGAAAACATCAATAATATTTTTGTCGCCAGCCGAACTCAACGATGATCTTTAAGTGAACAGAAATTCTTGCTATGCATAATACCTAGTAAGCAGAGCTAGCGAAGTGAATTATACTAAATTAGCGACTCACCCTCGATTCACACGGGTTCGTCCCTAGCTTGATTCCCCATACAAACTTTTATCCCCATTTCCACCTCGTTAAGGGATGATTTCCGTGATAAAAAGTATCATATGTCCTTGCAGGATCTCAAACTATCGTCTTCCCAAATTTCATCTAAATCGGTTCAGTAGATCCAGAGATTATCCTCTACAACGTCATAAACTTACAAACTATACTACTACCCCGGGAGATTATCTACTCGTAATCCTCACGGGAAAACATTTTATAATACAATTCAAAAAAATATTTATGATCATAATTATATAAAACTTGGTATTAATGCTCTTCAATAAAATTAAATAAATACGTATTTTAGCATTATTCGAAATTCATCCTTTTTGGTGGTAAAATAGGAATGAAAGTTTGTATGAACTGCCTTTTAGAGGTTTTTTTTTGTAGTTTTAGCGCGAACGAAGCCGCGGGTTCTGCTACCTACAGATATATTTTCGTATCTATTGTCAAATGTGACGAATGATATCGCAGGGTAATGCTGGGACATTGGATATACTAAAATTGAAGAAAAGAGCTTATAACTTTGATGATCTATAAATTTTTTTTGACTAACCTAGACAAAACGTGCTACTCGCACACATTCATGTGAAAAATGTGATACATAAATCAATCCTAGAAAGGCTAAGTCAGTGCAGGATAACCCAAAAGTTCCCCCCCAACGTGCGTTCACCTTGTCGTGGTGGGGGGGCTCAGTAGTGCCCGGCAATCCAACCGGGCGCGAAGCTAAGAAACGCACAGGGAGGTCGCCCACTTCGGTGGGCGATGGGAGGTGGCCCTCTTCGGAGGGCGGTGTACCATGCGAGTTGATCCTGGTACTTCTCTGATAGCAGAGTGGACTGTGGAGCAACCCCATGGTTGTGGTGGTCTGCTTCGGCAGACCTGCCGTCGGGGCGTCGTAGTTGAATGCGTAAGCGATCCTGCGACGCCCCATTAAGACGGGGGAAGGTTTTGTTGGGTTTTAGTGGGTAGTACTGGCTGTATTACGCCGGTGAGTCCCACACGTCGTGCGTAAATGCATTTCCCAACGTTAAAAAAAAAAAAGGATAACCCAAAAGTATCACTAAGTACATAGTATAAAACAAAGTCGCTTCCCGCTGTCTGTCTGTCCCTATGTATGCTTAGCTGGAGTTTTCAACGAAAACGCTGCCTAAACCCTTTGAGATATAACAAAATAATGTATAGTGGAATTATGTATCTTATATAGGTTTACATACCTAGGGACGAACCCAAGCGAAGTGAGGGTGAGTCGATAGTAGGCACATACATAATATATTATTTCTATAACCACGTCCCTGCGACTGTTACGGACGGGTCTTTTTAATTTCAGAAACTTTGAAGCTTAGGTAGGTGCGTAATAGTGAAAAATGCATACTAAGTACAGGTCCGGGGTCACAAATCGGTTTTCAAAATTCAAATGCACAGTCGCGGATGTGAATCAAATGAGGTAAGTGATAAAGATGATTATGATTATAATTATTAATTGTACGCTCGGACACTATGATATTATACCGTAGAGTACTGAGAGTAGAAACTACACAAGTATGAGGTGCATTTTAGCCTTTAAGTGTAAATAAATGCAGATTTGCCGCCTCCGTAAATGTGCCGCTCGGAGCAAACTTCATTCTAATTACTATTTACTACGAAACAGTTATTATTAGTAGATCTAGATCCTACAGGAATTTTAGATGATGACGAAATATTATCAACATGTAAGTGCGCCGTATTAAAACGTGTACATTGAATAAACATGTATTTATTTAATTGTATTAAAGAGCATTAATACCATGTTTCAAGTAATTCTGATCATAAATAATACATCGCCCCAAATAAAACCTAAATTTCGAAAAATCCTTTTTTTTCAGATACCTGATTTGATCATATAAGGAATACGTCTTTTAAATTTTACGTTTCTCGGATCAGCGCTTTAGACTGTGGTTTGATCGATCAGTCAGTCAGGACAACCACAGGATGCACCTATCCTTCTCAATTCTTCCTTCCGCTGTCTAACTTCCAGTTACAATGCATTGCGAACCAGGTAGAAAAGAAATATCATAATAATTGCTTAACTTCAGACTAAATGTAAATAGATCATACGTATAGCGCCCTCCTTTCAAAAAATCTTCCCCAAAAAATACTGAATACTGATGATTCATTCATTTTGTTATAAATATCTATGGTATTAATTGTCTATTTGTAAATGTCAGGTAAACGTGCCATTATGCCAATTGACAAGTGACGTTATTGAAAAATGTATTTTTATTTTTGTCATCTATCGTGAACAGCGTTGCCAATTTGTGGAGAATTCCCCAAACTGCGGGGAATATCAAGTCGATTGGGGATTGACATAATGCGGGGAAAATATTTATTTTTTTCTCAAAAATTATATTTTAAAGTAATAAAAAAAATGAAACTCAATCATAGTCTAAACTTGTGTATTCATTATTCAAAAATATAGTTTAAAAAAAACAAGTTGATATTTACAAAATATAGGACTTACAGTTTTGTTAAATAATCATAAAAAAAATATGTCAAAAATAATAAAAAAATTTTAAAGTATGATAAATACTTGTAGAAATTTTTTCAAATTTTTGAAACCACCCTTCAATCTACTTTGCATCCATGAAATGCCGTGATATATTTTTAAAAATTAAAATCGATTAAAAATTAATAAAATATCAATAAATTCTAAAAAATAATTACTTAAATAGATTCTACGGGAAAAATGCAAAAAAATGGCATATTTTACGTGACTTTCAATTTCTTTTATTTTTTCACGACTGGTCAAATTTGGAAAGATGGAAATTTTACGGCGAGATTGTATAAATAAAAAGCGTCAAATGAAAAACTTCAGAATATCGTTTTCTTTTTCTTTTGTTTCCGAACAATACGAGTACATTGATGTAATCAGTTTATAAAAATTTGGTCAATAAAATACACTTTTTCAATGATTATTAAAAAAATGTACTTTACAATATAAAAATTATCGATTTCCCTAACTAATTCAATTTTTAAGGGTGTTTGAACAGGACAACCATACAATGTTTTTGTATCTCCAACAAATAGAGTTCAAGACGAAAACGATGAGCCCTATTTGAAAATTAAACATTTTTTTTTAAATATGAACGTCCACTTGAAGTTAGGGGTGATTTTCAGCCTCCCGAGACCATGAAACATACATTTTTCCGTAAAGTATTTCAATTTAAAAAAAAAAACATTGCTTATTATATGTATTTCGAAGATTACATTCCCCTAGTTTCATGACGATCAAAAGATTATTGCAGAAATTAAAAATAAAAAACCAAGAAAAAAAATTAAAACAGAGTTTTTTTTTAAATATCTCGAAAAGTTTGAGGTTATAGTAAAGAGTGCTATTTTTAAAAGTTGTAGATTTTTATTAGACATACAGCTTTTGTAGAAAACAATTTTTGATGGACCGTCACAATAAACCGAAATAAAAAATATATTTTTTAACGCTTTGCATCCCCCTATTTCTCGGGGGTTTACGAATTTCTACTGCTTATATACCTGCTAACGTTTTAAAAACAAAAAATCAGGTTTTAATTTTTTTTGTTCCCAAACCGGATTTCGATTGGACTATATTAAATACAATATGTACTATATTTATTACTTAAAAATACAAAAGATAGAAAATAAATATTATTTAAATAGTTTAAAGTTGTTTTTTTTATTATTTTGAGGGGAATTTGTGGGGAATCAGAATATTTTTTTCCCCAAATTGGGGTATCTGAGTTAGACTTTCGGGGAATTTGATAAATTGGTATTGGCAATGCTAATCGTAAGTCATAACCTAGGAGTTATCCTCTGTGGTTATCGCTCGATACAATCTCTCTATGTCATATTTTTAGTTTTGTTTTTTTTTGCATTATTTTTTTGTGTAATAATATAACATTTGGTTCTTAGCTATAATTTTAGACCACTTTAAAAATTAAAATCGAATTTCAATTTGTAATGTAGGTCAAAGTGCAGTTTGTTATGTGACTCATTTAAGTTCCTTTATTGAGTTTGTGAAGTGTGTTAGTGGTTCAACCATGTTATTGTTTTGCATATAGCCACATCACGTTGTAAAAGGATCGTATATAAGAACCAATGGATACGCCGCCCGTACCGAAACCTCGGAGTGCATTTCCGCCTCAGAATGATGTTTTAAAACGACCTGTCCCTCTCCCACGAACAAAGCCACCGGCAAACCATGATAGGGTCAGTGCTTCAAATTTATTTCGCTCTATTGGCACTGTATCCAAACAAATTACAGAGGATGTCGCTCAAAAAGTTAGTAATTCAGCTAAATCAGCAAATGAAAAAATTGAAAGATCTATTATTGACGGATCAAAGTTTGCTAAAGGTACATTGGAAAAAACTTTAACTACCTCTAAAGCAGTTAGGGACTCTGTTGCTAAGTCAGTTTTAGAAGGCACCAAATCCGCAGGTTTAAAATTACGAATGTCTAAAAAATCTGAACATTCAGAAGGCGAGGAAAGTCAAAGATGTGTATCAATGCCAGCTGTTGATTTAAGTTTTTTTGACAATATTCAATTTCATTCACCTCTTTTAGAACAGAGACGATATAAAGACAGCGAAGATCCTCAAAATCTAAACAAGATACCAGCTTTACAATTAAATACAACTCATCTTGATGATTTGTCACTATTTTCCAGTAATTCTGATTCCAATACTGATACAGTTAGTAATTTTTCACATGATAGCAGAGAAAATGAACAAGCTGATTGTAGTTTAAATAGTGAAATGGAAATGACTTATGATACACCAAAGCCTTCAAGAGCAAATAGTGTTGTGAGTATCAGATCAGCACCTGAAATTCCAGAGCGAAGAAAGAAAAGAGAAAGCATTATGGAGGTTATGCGACAAAATTCTCTTTATGAAAATTGGACACTTCCTCATCCTTCCCCAAGCTCATCTAAGCCTGAAGTTGAAGTGATTCCTAGAGCAAGTAAAAGCACTATATATGAATTTGATCCTTTAAACAATAATGTCACCTCTACCAAAAAATATGAAGGAGTCAGTAATGAATTACTATTATTAGAATCCTTTTTGATAGGGGATACTTATGGAACCATTATATCCACAGATAGTGGAAATGATGATGTTGTTTATGATTTTAGTGAAACAGATTATTTCAATCCACCCACACCACCTGAGAGATTTGACAGTCTTTATCCAAATGAAAATTCTGACAAAGTAATACCTCAAGCTGAGGCACATGAGAAAGAAACAAATGCTAATTGGTATGTTAGTGAAAATCCTGCACAAGTATCAAATGCAGATGAAATAAAAACATCAAGCTCAATGATGCAAAAATTTTCTAACATATTAAAGTTTGATAATGTTTTGAACAAATCTAATAGACAAAGCATACAAAAGGTTGAGATAATTCAACGACCAGCTTTAAACAATTTGCCTGTATCACATTATTGTGGGATGTTAAATAAAGTTGTTTCTGGTGTAGTAGAAGATTTGTTTAAAAATTCTCAGTCTCGTTATTGCATTTTATCAGACCAAAAATTGATGTGCTATTCAGATCCTACGAATTCTATATTAAAAGAAGCTTACACTCTAGATAATATTCAAAGCATACAAGTCGTCTTACCTTTATCTTCCAGGTGATTAATGTTTTTGAATTTAAATATAGAATTACATACTATTAAGAACTAGCAACTCACCCTCACTCTGCTCGGGGTTGTCCCTGGCCTGGTTACATTTTAATGTTTAGTATTTCTGAGATGGGATATTTTCCCCTAGTAAAAAGTATTCTGTATTTTGACCTGGATAATCAGCTATCATCATACCAAATTTCATCAAAATCTGTCTGGTGGTTTTCTCGTGATGCACACCCAGACAGACAGACAAAAATTCGACCTCTGTATCGATAATAATGAATATTTCAATAAGATTTTCCAAAAAATATTTAATACTAGCAGAACGCGGGGCTTCGCTCGCGCTAAAACTACAAGAAAATCTCTAAAAAGGTAGGTTTCATACAAACTTTCATCCCCCTTATGGAATGAATTTCGAAAAATGCTAAACCACATTTATTTGTAAAGATGAACGTTAATACCAAGTTTCAAGTAATTCTGATCATAAATATTTTTTTTAGTTCTATTATAAAGTATTTTCCCGTGGGAATAAGATAATGTCCCGCGGTTAAAAGTAGCCTATATCACTCTCCAGCCCTCCAACTATCTCCACACAAAAAATCACGTCAATCCGTCACTCTGTTTTGACATTAAAGAAGGACTAACAAACAAACACACTTTCACATTTATAATATTAAATAGTAGATTTGACTCAGAATTTTATTATATGTATAGATAATTAAGGGCATAAGTGACAGGGTCATATTTGACATCTAACTTTAAGGATAAAATAATAAAATAAGCTTCATTATTGGTAATTTTAGTTATATAGAAATCAAATCAAAATTAGATATTGCTGTTTTTTATTAGTTATAAAACCTTACATAGAACAACTCAATTACATATTTCCATTCGAACCATAAATCTACACTATTATAAAATAGTTTAAAATAAAAATGAAAAGACATACCTTACCACCCAAATCTTTAAAGTACCATTTCAATTTAAAAATATGTGTTTGGATTAGCGACTTTGCTTTATAGGAAGGTTTAAAAACTAACCATCCATCTATCTGTATAAAAGTGCTGTCAAAAATCACTGATTTTGAAGTTTTAAAAATTTGTTATAAATTCCTTTGCCCGCCTGAGAAGTTAGGAACAGACTTATGGATTTCACTCAGTGTATTTCTTTGTAAAAACGGTTAAGCAATCAATTGGCTAAATTGATTGATATACACAGTAGGCATTCTTTGTTTCATTTAAAGTTCTTTTAAGATACAAATATGTATGAAATATACATAATGATAATACAATATTGTCTTATAAACACAGAGAAGTAGTAATTGAAATATTCAGGTCTTATGTTTTGTAGGTTACAAACGTTATTCAGTATTTTCAACCGACTTCAAAAAGGAGGAGGTTCTCAATTCGACTGTTATGTTTTTTTTTATGTTTGTTACCTCAGAACTCCGTCATTTATTAACCGATTTGGACAATTTTTGTTTTGTTTGAAAGGGTATACTTCCAGATTGGTCCCATTTAAATTTCAAAAAAAAAAAAACCACCCCTAAGGGTGGAAAAACAACTAATGATGAATTTAACCTACTTCTAATTGTCATATTGACTTGAAACTTTGCAAGTATTTCTATTTCCGTTGATAGTACAGTGGTTCGGTGTTGTTGACCTGATCTGATGGCAAGGCCAGAAGGTGGATAGGTGCAACTCTTTAACAACTAATAGTAGATACTTTGAGTTTGGGCTTATTTTGTTTGATTTGACAAGCCTAACACTTTAGAATCCTTACTTTGCTAGTACTGTCTACACTAAAAAGGGAAAAATAAAAACTTTTTAACAAAAAAATAAAAACCGACTTCAAACAAAAGCACTAAAAAGTAAAAAATAACTGATTGGTAGTTTTCATTTACTATACATACCTAATCAAATATTTTCGAAGTCGGTGTGCTTTGGCTAAGTAATTAAAGCCTACCTATTAAATACATACCATATCAAATATTTTCGAAATCGGTGCCAGACCATACAAAGCAAAGCACACCGACTTCGAAAATATTTGATTAGGTATGTATAGTAAATGAAAACTACCAATCAGTTATTTTTTACTTTTTAGTGCTTTTGTTTGAAGTCGGTTTTTATTTTTTTGTTAATTAGGAGTTTAAAACAATATTGTACAAAAGAGCCCTTATTCTTAAGTAGAAGAGTTCTTAATAACATAAAATTATTAATATTTTTGTATTTTTATTTAACAGCACAACCAGTAACTCCTATTGTTTTGAATTGATGGTTTCGACTGGCGTACGCAGTAGTCCACGCAAAGTTTTATTCAGTTGTGCAAGTGCTCCTGAGAGGCGAAACTGGGCTCAAAAAATTGCCGAACATCTTACAAATGGATTCCCTACTAAATATACCACAGAATATACAAGATGCGGCTGGTGTTATCTAAAGGTAATGATATACCTCATCCAATATTTGCATGCTTCTTACATTTACTGTGTATGATTATAAAGTGTACTATTACTCGTATAAATGCGAAAGTAACTTTGTTTGTTTGTTTGTTATCCTTTTCGTGCTTAAACTTCTGAACTTGATTTTTATTAAATTTGGTAAGGACAGACATATACTATAGGGACGGATTATATTTAATTTAACCTCGCTCCTCTTACAGTGCAGGCGGGGCCGTGGACAAAAACTAGTATTTCATAATATTACATACAATTTATTAAAGTGCCAGTGTATTGTTTGTTATGTATTATATTAGAATAGATATGTACAAGCAATTTGTTTCAATCTTATTTGTTTTATTATAAAAAAATAAGATGTACATACATATAGTACTATATTGACCTGTTTCGTGTGTTATTCCATGCGTCTCCTGCCTATCCTTAATGGATCGATAATGCATCCCATGACGCAAGTCATAAAGTTGCGCAACTCCGCTAAGTAAATGCTAGCAGTAGTATGGTGTGTGCAATGTCAATCGTTTATGTAATTGCTGTGCTGACATCCTGCCATCCATTTTTTATCCTTCGGTTAAATCCAATTAAGGCTTATCGTTGTTTCATCAATTCACAAAATATTAAAATTATTATGCATTATGTGCCAGATGAAATAACAAATTGGGTCGGCCTCACTCTTAGGTACGCTTATTCATAGTTATATAAAATTATTGAAGTCTTAATAAATTATATTCTATCAAAATAATATATTTTTTTATAAAATTAAGAAAAGTGCTTCTATTATTTAGCATAAAAAACCCGTAAGAGCCCGTAAACTCTGTAGAGTTCTCAGTTAAATACGATATTTTACAATGCTGCAATAGCGAATGTGATATTCGTGCATTATGTGACACAATATTTATCTAGATACACACTTAATTTATCGCATAACTATGCTCACTTATCATTGCATTCACAACTACTAGTAGAGTTTATTTTATATCATTATTTGTTGTTAGCGTTTACGTATTAGAAAGGACAAAAACTTAAGAACACATTTCTTATTTGTATGTACTGTCTATCAAATGTAAAACTCTCTGCCGACACTTGCGCTCTTAAATTGGATATCTTAGTCCTATTTCTGATTATATTCTCAGTATTAAAAAGCTTTGCAAATGTTTTAAAATTTTAGTTCTATATAAATTGATTCATACCTTAGTAATTTATAGTACACGAGTTGCCCTATGTATTCAATGACACATAGTATAAAGGCGTCCAGATTGTACTCATATTGTAGTCATTATTGACATACTAGGCTAACATTTAACTGATGTTTAAATGTATGATAGCGCAAACTTAACGCGGTGTCGTCTATACATATAATAAAATTCTGAGTCGAATCTGTACATTAAATATTTTTTGGAAAATCTTATTGAAATATTCATTAATATCAATACAGAGGCCGAATCCATAGTTTTTAGTATTTTTGTCTGTCTGTCAAAGACATCACAAGAAAACCACTGGACAGATTTCGATGAAATTTGGTGTGATGATAGCTGGTTATCTGGGTCAACATATAGGATACTTTTTACTACGGAAATATATCTCATCTCTGAGAAATCTATACTAAACATTAAAACGTAGCCAGGGACGAACCCGAGCGGAGCGAGAGTGAGTTGCTAGTAAATGAATATACCAAGTCATTAATTTTTGTCTAGAAGTCATCATGTTCTAAACAAAATACACTCATTGTAATCTATAATATAAAATTTGTAGGCACGTTTCCGCGTTGCGATAAACATACTTGTTTTGAAATACAAGTCTATTTGCTTTTTCTTAATATGCTTTACTGTATTGTGAGAGAGGTATAACGCGTGTGCGAATATATTTTTTACCATTCCGTGTTTATTTTGCAAAGCGATTGATTTGAATTGTAAGTCGTAGTCTTCCGTACAATATTCGATGAGCGCTCTGGAAAACAAAATCTTACGTGATGTAATTGATAAATTTCTTTATTGGCAACTACGTAATAAGCGAATGCTCTGTTGTGAGATACAAATAAGTTCTCGTCAATTGATCATTTATAGATTTCCTTATATATATATATATATATATATATATATATATATATATAATAACAAGCTATTTTTAATATAAAGTTGTTAAATAATGATGGTACGTGATAAGCATAATGCGAGTACATGTATTTTTTCTTGGTCGTGAGTAATCAAGAAGTTCGTAATCTACATCATTGATTGTTTTGATATCTCCCAAGCCAAGCCTTGTTCCATCATATACGCCTATATTCAACGTTGAATGAAATGTATCCAGTAAATACTGTTTTAAAACTGTATAAGATATATGTAATTTTGAGTATACATGTTCGATTCAACGTTTTTTGTTAATTTAACAGCAATAGACCAATTAATATTTCATAATATACATATTTATGTATTATATTACTATTGTATAAGGTTAGAATTATGGTTTTAATTGAATTTTATACATACAGATTTTTTTATACATAAAGATATAAGTAAGAAAAAAACTTCAAAGTAAATAATTTAAATTTTAACTATTTCTTTAAAAAGACTTAAGAATTAATGATGGATACTTTATTTTTATGTAAAATAAATAAAAAAAACATGATATATTTATATAGCAGTTGCATTCCATACTCGGCATGGGAAAGCGCAGTATTACATACAGATTTCCAACGTGTTGTTTCCGATAATTGATAGAGGGGAATTTTTAATGGACAGGAAGGTGTGAGCGGCGAGTGGCGCGGCGCGTGGGTCATGTTGGTGCGTCGCGTGCTGGTCTATTGCAGCGATTCTGATAACATGAGGACTGTCGATCTGAGGAAAACACGCTGCGTTGGTGAGCACTCGTATAGTGTACTGTAGAGATGTATTATAACTTATAAGATGTTTATGGTAACATCTATGAATACAGGATGGGAACTATTACAGCCATTTTATTACGTTGGATAAACTGATATCATATCCGTCAATCTCTATACAATCATAATTCTATAATGTAAGGAAATGCATTCGATTAAATGTTACTAGCACTCCTATCGAAATATAAATTTAGATCGAAGCTTTCAGGAGCTGTATGCTAGTAGTTGTTTGTTTGTTAAAATTGTGTACAGAACAACAAAGTTGGTGTACAGAGGCCCTGCTTATTCTAATTTTGATCCAGAAATTGCATTAAAAACGTAATAAAAATATTTTTTTATCTTCCGGATGTGTGCAATATGACGCTCATGTAACAAATATCAGAGTACTTACATGTAATTGTGGAACATCCGTTTGCAATTGAACGGATAATGAGCTAATTATATCATCATTTTCGAAATAATTACCTACTAAAGATTTGGACTTTTAAACCTTCGTTTAGCGAGATAATCGTTACGTTAAATGTTAGCAAATGCTCAATTATATCCAATTTAAAATTTAAGTATTTTAAATTTTCATTTTTTATTTTTTATTAAAATGAAAATGTATTAATTTTTGAATTGCTTAAAAATATTATGCGATGCTATTGTAAAAACCCTAGTTAAAGTATTGATCAATTTTGAGGACAATAGGTAGACTACATGTGGGTATACAAAACATATATTGTTCTTCGTCAATTCAATGCAAGTAAATGTGTATATAACTAAAAAATTCGACGTCCATATTATAACAGTATTAGGAAGGTATTCGTGTACCATTACCCAGTATAGGCAGTGAGGGGAGATGAGTCACTTGTTCTAGGTACAATTTCCTCTATAACGTTGTTTATTTAGACCACGGCGTATGCACCGACAATGAGACGCTGTGTAGTGTGCGACTATCAAACATTAATAGCACTAACAATGAAAGCCTACTTGTTTTAAAACCGATAGCTATACTAGATTATGAATACAAAGATTCTTTGACATTACATTAATTAGGTATGATGATGATGATGATGATGATGATGATGATGATGATAATTAGGTATATTATTAGTTTTAAGAGTATAATTGAATTTGCTGTTGAGATATTATTCCATAACCCATAATTGTGTAAATAAAACAGCGTATTAGAACAATCAAATAAAAATTAGCGGAAAAAAGAAATTATAAAGAGACATTAGTAAAAGTTTAAAATTATATGAAATATTCAACTTTTTAATATACTGTTGTAATTTTAAATAAAACTATCTTTAGACTCTCGGTCTCTCCCGTGACCATGATTGCTGCAAACTGTATAGCATTCGAAACGTCTCGGGAATCAATGAAACATCAAAATAAATACGCGAAAAACTTCAAAAAGATAATTTTATTTAAAATGTCAAATATTCGCGTAAATCTAAGAAAGTATTATACTGTTGAATGTAACAAAAGTATAAACGTTTATCACATTAAATATTTTGTACGATCTGGATATTTTTAAACAATTTAAATAATTTGCATTTCTTTACTATTCTTAAATGATATTTTCCATGCAATTAATTTGAAGAATACTCTTTTTTTGTTTTTAATTCAGTGACGAAAGAGGCTGAAGAAGACACGAAACTACTATGTCCTTCGGATGTTAGCCAAAACTTGTTACTCGATTGCCCTCATGCTACCTTGTATTTACGATTCCCCCATGAGAGAGAACTTAAGGTAAGACAATTGTATATTAACCTTTGTTATATTGATGTTTTATTAGAGATGGGGCAACTGGGCCGACTATTAGTTTTGCCGACTAGCCGACTAGTCGACTAGTCGGTTGGAAAAAGGCCGACTAAAGAATGAATACATATTGTTTGGAACTGATTCAAAAATAAATAATAAACAGGAGATTACATAATTGTGTTCTTTGTTCAGAGTTGTAGAAACTCGCGTCTTCTTTTCCTTCCTTTATACCTATTCCTAGATTATATTGCCCATTGTAACACTGATACTAAAATATAAACAATAATCTATCTAATATCGTTAAACGAGGAATTCTTGTATATATATTTATTTATATATACCGGTGGTCTCGGAAACGGTTCTCGGGTAAAAAGCACTCGAGCGAGTCGAGGATATGCCGCTAGGATTCAAAATAGTAAAAACATTTGAATGATTAGATGTGTCCTATAGATAACGTGAAGGTTAATATGTTACAGGGCTGGAAATATATGATAAAGCTCGCTGCGCACAACAATGGCGCGCGCATTCACCATCAACAACTAACAAAAGAAGATGTGCCAGTTATCGTTGACAAATGTATAAGCTTCATTTATGCGCATGGTATGTATCTTTGTTATCTTATAGGAATGCACCATATTTATGCCTGTCAGTACGAACTCGGTTCACGTATAAGACAATATTTAAGGATAGAATGGACATCTAGTTTTTGCCAGCGACTTCGCTTCATTGGTTAGGTACTTCAAAGCAAAAAGTAAAAAATACAAACATATATCGTTTAGATTATAATAAATACTTTTGTAGTGGTACTATTATGACATCGACACCTGCAAAGTGCAATTGTCACTTCCGTTAAGTATTATTAATAATAAAAACATATTGATCTTTCATTTTTAGGGTTCCGTACCCAAAGGATACCAACGGAACCTTATACTATCCCTCCGCTGTCAGTCCCGTACTAAATAGAGAGTTGAAATTTACACAGAGTACGAGTATGTATTTCTAATGAACAAAAAAATACAATTACAGGAAACAATTTTTTTAACGTTCGTAATCGATCATTGAAGTTAATATACTACATACATAGAGTAAAAGTCATATTAAGAAAAACCTAAAAAAAAGACTTCCAGGCACTAAAATGTAAAAAATAACTAAAAGGAGGTTTTCATTTAGAATAGATACCTAATCAGATATTTTCGAAGTCGGTGCCAGCCGATGCAAAGCAAATCTAATATATTTCGATACGTAAAATACATATTTACCTGTTAGATATTCATATCTTAAAATATTGTAGGCTGGCACCGACTTCGAAAATATCTGATTAGATTTAAGAAAAATAGTACTATTCAGTACTTACAAACAAACAAAAAATTATCAAATATTTCCTCTTTATAATATTAGTACAGATGAATAACAAAAGTTTGACTCACGACCATTATTCTATCACCAGGTAGTCTTTCCGAAGGTATTTACCGTAGAGCGGGCAGCTCTATAGTACTGGCGGAACTGCTCGCCCGTTTCCGACGCGACTCGTGGTCGGTCCAACTGACCCCCGGGCAACATTCAGAGCACGATGTTGCCGGTGTACTCAAACGATTCTTCAGAGATCTGCCAGAATCTCTGATACCACAGACTGAACACGCCAGGCTTACTTCTGTATTAGGTGATTGTGGCTTTTTTTATTTTGTTAGAGCACACTAATATGTGTGTGTGTGTGTGACAGTGGCGAAGGGTCCATACAAGAAGTCTTACCTTAAAATTGTTTTGCTATAATTTTACGTACATTTAATTTTTTAAATGTATAAAATTATGTTTTTTGGGAATATATATATATAAAAGTTGTATATTTTTGGAACGGCTTACCTCTGCTAAATTTCACCCTTCGCCACTGGTGGTTATATAATATTATAATTTTAATAGAATATTTTTTTGTGTCACAGGTTTCAACTGTATTGCCTAATTTAAATGCATTAAACATATTAACTCTATCTCTGTGTAGTAAAAGTTCTGCAAATAATAGTTATAATATAGCTATATTAAGCAAATTTTCGACGGGATATTTTTTTTTTAATTTTGATCCGGTGTCTCCGTGTAGTATAAGTTTACCTAATCGTTTTCACATGTACCAAAAACTGCTGAATGCAATTGGATCAAATTTCATACATATGATTAATAAGTGATTTGTGAAAAATAAGTATATGTTTCACAGAAACATCCATAGTAATTTATTTCCTTCTGGTCAACACAAAAAATTGGACGGTGATTATAATTTACGTTAAACTAAATGACCGCCTAACCTTAATACCAATATAATCATGATTTAGAAGAACAATATCTCTAATTATAAATATAATTTCAACCATCTTAAAAATAAATATTAACGTAATCTAACCGAACCGATACATATAATAAAATTGTAACTAATCGGTGTCTGTACATGGAAGATATTTGAGAAAAACTATTATTTGGAATCTTTATTAACGCAATAGAACCCAAAATAGTATTTGTCTGTGTTTTGTGCGCGCTTATCTCAGAAACGGCTTAACCGATTTGGGTGCAGTTTTCACAATGTTTTGTGGTAAGCTTAACTTAACATTTAATCTTGTGTTTTATTTCAATCGGTTCATAAATTAAAAAAGTTATGCCTATTTAAATAATCACCTAGGGCTGAACCTTAAATAAGTAAATTGCTAATCTCCAGTTAACTTCTTTTATTAATAGCTAATAATAATCCTTCGAGAGCCAATCAAAACAATTTCTTTTTCTTAAATCCCACATAGTTACTATTACGTTCCTATGTATAACATATCATGAGATAAAGAATTGTATATAATAATAAAAAAAATCTATTTCACTTGTAGACCTGAAGGATCCTGCAGCGCGACATGCGGCGTACAAAGCGGCGATGACGTCACTACCGCTAGTAGCGTACAATGCTGCACGCAAGTTGTTCGCACACCTACACTTTCTGCATACGATGTCACATGCTAACAAGATGAGCGCTGAAAACTTGGCGTCTGTATGGGCTCCCACTATAATGCCCGCTGCTTTGGTAAGATCACTACTAATATAAAAAAATAACAAGTTGACACGTTGCGGTTTAGCACAATTTTCGTATACGGGAAGAGAATTAAGGAAATATTTACTTATTAAAATAAATATATTTATAGACACTGATATACCTTCGATGTATTGTAGCAGGATTCGATGTATTGGTTATTATCAAGTACATTTCTCCAAAAAGATTAATATGTTATAAATTGCCCTGGCACTTATAGAAGCTTAGCATTAACGGTAATGATTAGCTGAGTCAGCAGAAAAAGCGCTGAGTGGGCTTTTCGTTTGGATTAAAAGATTTATATCTACATTAGTTTTTGCCTTAACTGCCTTAACCTTTAAGTTAACTGCCTCGGTGGTGTAGTGGCTAGCATGTACGGCTGCACACCCGGAGGTCCTGGGTTTGAGTCCCGGGTCGGGCCAAGTTTAGTTATTGAGTCTTCCTGTATAGTAAGTCTCAGTAACAGCCCGGAGTTGGGAAGTTGGCGGTGTTTCACCCCCGTGCCTCGGAGAGCACGTAAAGCCGTCGGTCCTGCGCCTTAACTCTCACCGGTCGTGTCGAGTGGTCGTCCCACCGGAGTATGAGAGTGATAGGAATAGAGAGTGCACTTGTGTCTGCGCGTACACTTGAGCACTATAATATCTCCTGCGCAGTTGGCTAATCTCATTGAGATTGGCCGCCGTGGCCGGAATCGGCTAGGAGAACATCATCAGTTTTTGCCTTATGTTCTGCTTCTGATGCTAGTAACGTCATATTAGATAATCGATAATAACGAATCCACACTAACAAAAACCAGGTAGTAGTGATTACGCACTTGCTTATGAAACCAAGCGATGTGGGTTCAAATTCCGGGTCTCGCGCCTCTGATATTTTGACATGCAAATCATTTTCAACATGATTACCACTTACCTAATGGTGAAAGAAAACACTGTGAGGAAACCTGCACGTCTTAGAAATCCTTGCAAGTAAAGTCCGCCGCCCCGCACTTGGCCAGCGCGGTGGACTATGGCCTGATCCCCCTCGTATTAAAGGGAGGCACGTGTCCAGTTGTGGTACGTTAAACGAGAGGGCTGAATATTACAACAAAAAACAAATTCTTCTATATCAATCTATAAAATAATAAATACTGATTATATAATCATAAAGCTATTTTATTGCTCAACCTTAATCTTCAAGTGCTTCACTACGTAGTATAAAACAAAGTCCCTTCCCGCTGTCTGTCTGTCTCTATGTATGCTTAGCTAGCTTATCTTTAAAACTGCGCAACGGATTTTGATGCTGTTTTTTTAATAGATAGAGTGATTCAAGAGGTAAGTTTAAATGTATAAAACATGCATATTATAGGACAGAAAAGCCGAGAAATTCAAAGATTTGTATTTCATACTAACCGTTAAAACGTACCGAGTCGGTAGTAACTAAAAAAACCCCATTTCAGACGAGTCAAACACTTCAAACAGCGTGGTCTGCGAAAGAGCAGCAAGTGGTACGTGATCTAATAGCAAATTTCGAAGCTATATGGGAGCCAACAGAAACAGATGTGCGAAGGGAAGCAGCGATACGACGGGTGTTAGTGCGAGTACTGAGCAACACACTGCCGACCCCGCCTAAGGCAGCGGGCGACTTGCGTGCGTGGGTGTACGTGATGGATAGGAACACGTGTCACCAAGTCGCTGTAAGTATGTTGTTATCATTTGTCGGTAAGAAATATTCTAAAATAAAAGACTGATAAATAAAGTAAAATTATAATCAACTCGTAGATGAAATTTTTGAAGTAAAACTTCTTAACGCACGCTTGACTTAGCAAGTAATCTGGTGAAGGCGTGACGTGAGCGTTACGAAAAGTGTGATCGGGCGGGGCGAACGTTTGTTGACATGGTAACCTTTGTTATTGTCTGACAAATGATATATAATATTGTATTCTTTCCTTAAATAATATGCTTAATATGCGTTATTTAATTATTTTATTAAAATTTATCATTCCTTTTACAAACAGTTGTGACGAGAAAGAGTTGTGACATACGACATGTTTTTTGAACATAACTTTCTAAATGCCGGAAACTTTTAAAGAAGGGGAGCCCAAGAGGGGATTTTCTGTAGTTACTCGAGCGCGGCAGATTAATATACAGGGGGATACCTTGTACCCGGTTAAGTACCTCCACAAAACATGAGGCCCATATATAAGGCCGCCCGTGAAGGATACAGGATCAGATTAGTAAAAAAAAATTGACCACCAGAAATTCTCGAGCGCGTCAGATTAAGGTAGGGTGAGTTAATTACATCCTAAAAAGTGTATATTCCACTAATCTGACAATTTGAGAGTGACGTAAAAAAAGGGGAAGGCAACAAAGTTGTAAAAAAACGTCATCTCGACATTCTCGAGCGTAGCTAAATTTTTTTTTATTTTGAAGGAAATAATGCAAGAATAATGAAAAATATATAATCTGACGATTTCTGCAAGCCGAAATAACAAAAATTCGTCGATAAAGTTAAATGCGTGCAGCTGCGTGATGCCTACATTTCCTTCTCCGCGTTTCTATTCCTCTCTCACTCTTTCTCTATCTATTACTCTCTCACTCCGTCCCCACTCTGGTTTCTGCCGCCATGACACCATCACAGCTGATCATAAAGAGTCTTGGGGTGTGCGAACATCGTTCGAATCGAATCGAATATCAATATTCGATTCGAAATTCGAAAAATTTCGAATAATTCGTAAAAATTTCGAATAATTCTAAAGTTTTCGAATAATTCGCGAATTAATGAAATATCTCTGGATCTTCAATTCGAGAGATATCGTGAACGAAAGAAAACCGAAAAAAAGTGTTTTTTCGGGATTACTCCGAAATTTTTGGTTCGATCAATTAAAACCTGAAAATAACTTATGAGGATAATAAAACTGCGTCGAATGCCGTCAACCGCGTGAAAATTGCTTGATCTATTCAAAAGTTATTGCGGTTTGAAAATTCCAAAAATAGTGTTCTATGAAACCTCTATCAGACTTTCGAGCTGGGAGAGCTCAAATGCATAGAAATATTATTTCTTTGAACTCTGCGAGCTCAAAATATCACATAAATTATATTTTGAGCTCAAAAATGCCATAAGTACAATTTTAAGCGCACAGGAATGGAATTAGCGGGAAGTTGCAGGTATGGCCTTTAAGGTGAACCGTTTTTCTAATATTTTTTTTGTCAGATCAGGCGAATCCCTCTAGATAATCGTCAGATTATGAGACAGTACGTTTAGAACATAAAGATGAACCATATATATCTTAATCTGACGCGCTTGAGTATTTCAAAATGGCGATTTTTTTTTGCACATTATGAAAATGGCCGCGAGTTTGCGTCCCATCGAAATCGTCAGATTAGTGAATGAGAGCTTTTTTTTGGTGCAATTAACACTCCCTTAGAAAATCTGACGCGCTCGATTAAATTTTTTTTTTTTCATTTTCAACCCTTAAATACAACCACCCGCATCATGCAAACGATCAGATTAACATACGTACATTATTAAAAATACGTAGGGCATTGATGCTATCAATATCTGACGCGCTCGAGGATGTCTATGCAACAGTTTTTTTTTACATATTTAAAAATCTATAGCCGCTTCCCCCACCGATGTAAAGGTATATATCATATAACATTTTTTTCTTCTTATCATCTAAGCTTTGCATCCCAATAGGTCTACGACGCTCGAACAAATCCCCATTTAGCTTCGTGGGCTCCCCTACCATTAGGGATCTCACATGTTTATATATATACATACCATTGTATACGTAGGCATATTATAAGTGTATTTATGGCTTGTTTTAAGAAATGGAAAAAACAATAGAAAACACAATAATTTTAAAAGTTATTATTATTCCATTGCTTTTAAACCAAACACTCTTTTACAGTTAACGCCCAATAAAACAAGCGCTGATATCTGTATAGAGCTGTGCGAGAAAGCGAAAATGGATTCACACTTACTTATGCTGGAAGAAGTTGTTTGTAACGAATCAATGCGGCGAATTGTACATATTAACGAAATTGTGTTAGACGTAGTCCTAAGATGGGGTTACTGGGACGAAGAAGATAGAAAGGATAACTACCTACTGGTGAAAGAAAATAAAATATTGCACGAATTAGACATCCTTCGACATTCAACGTCCCTAGTGTGCGGTGAACTGAGAATCGCTAATGAATCGACAAAGGCCTTCAAGCTGCATATGTTCGAGTTCAATAACTCGAAATTAGGATATTTTAAAGATAAACAGGTGAGAAAACACGAACTCTTTTAAATAATAACATAATGTGCATGTACTCTATATATAACGCTGCTCACTTATATATGTAAATATTGCTTCTGAAAATTTAATATTTACTACTGCGCAGCCACTTGCAGCGCACTTTAGAGAGGCACCATTATAAAATTATGTATGCGTATTATCAAGTATCGGTCAACTTAATTAAAATGATTAGTTAATAAATATTTTATTAGGATTTTAGTAATTAATAACTTTTATATATTAGTAGATCTGAGGTTCTATAGTATTTCGTATCTAATGTATGTAGTAAGTTAGGTGTATGGTAAATACAATAATATTAATAATTATCTATAATTTGTAGGGTTCACACAAAATAGAAGAATGGTATATAAAGGACATCTTGTGGTACGTCGGACACGAGCCCAAGCGGAACCCACAGTCGAGATGGGCGATCACTTTCATACCTAGGAATAATAAACAAAAAAGGTATATTTTATTTGCGAATAAAAAATATAGTATAGACATATATGTTGGGACATTAACACACATCACCATCTAGAAGAGAATCTAGCAAGTTTTCAAAAGACATGCTCAGTACGCCCGCACTTGTCCAGCGTGGTGGACTATGGCCTGATCCCTTGTACTAAAGGGAGGCTCGTGCCCAGCAGTGGGACGTTAAAAAGGGCTGAATACAACTCTTAATTTATGCTAAATAATCTTATAGGTGTTATTAGGGAAATAATGTGGAAGGCCTTAGTTTAGTTTTCGAGCGAGGACTAAATAAATACACGTCGCCATTTATAGGACTAAATAAATGGCGACATTTATATTCCTATTCTATATCTACATAAAAAATAAAATGATATTTCGATGTTTTTTTTTAAACTAATTGTGTATAAATAACGAGAAATATATTTTCAGAAGCAAAGACCGGCCGTGGTTCGGTTGCACTATAGCGGGCGCCGTCACAGAGGATCAACTAAAATGGATGACCGCCATGACCTTCGCAGAACACAACAATATATTGCCCACGCCAAGACTTGTCATCACATAGATAATATATAGGTATTTTACTGTGTTTCTATTTTCCTCTCGCTCTTCTCATTGAGGGTAGACAGAGAGAGAGCGTTATGACGAATCACTTTGTTGTCAAAACAATGTTTGGTATCTGTGAATATTTTCAACGTTGCATTTTTATTAAGCAAATCTATAGCACAAACTTACTGCCGATGGACTTTATGCCTATTATATTTATTTATGTGTATGTATTACATTCCTAAATTGTTTTATAGTTAAAGGTACTATTTTCATGTGTAAGGAAATAATACGATTGTCGACTTCGTCTTTGGCTGTATATCGATTATTGACTTCGTTAATGTAATAAAATTATTTTTTTTAAATTATAGTAGGAGATATATCCCCATATTATACCACATTCGATGAAAATATTAAATAAGTTATAGCTGAAAGGGTTTTAAGAATTAAAATGAACGGGCACGTTGCGCGAAATGTAGAGTAAATTGTCCCTCTAGTGTTTTATTCCCGAAAAAAGTGGGATCAAAACGTTCATTTGTAAACACAGAATATTTATAAAATGAAAAAAATAAAATAAAATATGGATTTCAACCAGTTATCAATAATATTGTACATGGTCAGTATAATGAGAAAGGTAAAAAAATATTCAAGTCCAACCATGTTTATGGTGAAGTAGAAGAAACTGTCATAACCGCAAAAGTTGTACCACAAGCGAGCGTGTTAAATGTTTATGATGTGAAAATTATGGTATTTTAAAAAATACTTAGTTTAATAAAAAAAAAACAAAAACATACTTTTTCTTGACGTTGACATTACTGAGAAATGTTCCCAATAGATTCAAGTGTTTGCCAATAGTTAGTGTAAAAGTCTAGACGCACGGTCCCTATGCATATATTAAACAGTTTTAATATTTATGGGCTTTTGAATATCTGTAATATTTACATTGAAAAAGTACAATATCTAATTGGTTCATCTTTTGCACTGTCTTATTAATATAAAAAATATAATTAAATTAGTCTTTTTAAAATCTCATGATATCTATTTTAAAATTCAACAAATACGATCGCGTAACGCACTCTATTATTCAGAATTAATTGCAACTTTATACATGAACGTCACTTTAATTCTTTCATAAACATGGCTAATATTCCTTTATACTTCAAGGAACATTTTAGGCCCTTACTCATTCAAAACTAATGCTCACAAACTAATAATATGCTGAAACACCTCCGCGGCGTGCAAAGTGAATCTTGTCGAGGATTAAATAGTAGAATCCGCGGCTTCGCCCGTGTCAAAACTACAAAAAAAAAACAAATTCTTAGGCTTTTGTTTTAAGTAATTTTTGTTATAAGTAATTAATACAGAAATAACCTCGCTCTGCTGCACGCCCTGCGCCCTCCTACCATGCCGTGTAGGATTTTCGAAGTCCAATTTCACTCCATTTGGCAATGATTTTGGAAAAACTGTGATACACGTGTCTCATAATTTTAAATGAAAAGTATGTGTACCAACTTTCAAGTCAATCGTCCCAGAAAATAAAATGTTTCTCAGAAAATTCAACCTCCGTTTCACCCTCTTAGGGAGGGAATTTAAAAAAAAAATCTTAGTGGATACCTACATTCCACAAAGAACACATGCTCCAAATTTCATGTCTCTAGGACCAGCATATTCATTTCATTCATTCAGTCAGTCAGGACTTTCAATTTTATATATACATATATAATAGATTGTATTAAATATGTTTATAGCATATTATAATACTTCATGCACCATCTGCCATTTAATTCTATCAAAATCCTGTATTCTCAGTTGGCTTAAGAAATGACTTTCAGTGTCAAGGCTAAGTTTACATCTTTGTTTTATTATCTGTAATAAACGATTGTGTGCTATAATGTTTTATAAAATATATTATTACATTATTTTTATTTTATTTCACATGTGTATTTATGTTTAAACAATAATCACTTGTTTATTTCTATAAACAAATAGTTGTTTTAGCTATTGTCCGTACGCATTTTATTTCTAAATATTATTTTCTCTTGCCGTCGAATACTTCATGTATTCAGTTTTTTTCACATACATATTTTCATTTTAAAATATCGCGAGTCACAGTAGAATTTATAGCATAAATATTATTTGAAATGCTCTCTCTCTAAGGAGTATCGAACTTATATCGTATCATCGGATGTACCAAAAGTGTTTTGTGACATTTATTTCAAAACTTTAGTACTATTTATTTATATACGTTAAAAAATATTAAAAACAAATAAAACTCATGCTACTAGGGATGGTTTTAAAACTTGAAAATTTATCTACGACTGGAATTTTACATTGATTTTCACTTTCAAAATTATTCTATCAATGAAGTTGTGTTATTATATTAAAGAAACATAACCATTTATTTATTTAAAAGTACATATAGTAATTTGATAATAACAATATTCGTACATATTATCTTTCACAATAGATATTTTGTAATTTTGTTCATTATGTTTAAATTTTATATTAAATAAATGAATGAATAATCGCTCTGGCACAATAATTACTTTTATAGATTTAGTAAAATTTTAGTTCCATAATTATATCAGAGGTATGTATGTAGTTGCACATGCATAGCAAAAGGATACTAGGAAATATACCAATACGTATTTTAAATTGTATGGAAAAAGTTACCTTAATCTTAAAATAATATGGTAATGATTTTAATATAAAAATGTGAATTATAAATGTGATTAAGTTTTTAATTTTCATTGATATATATATATATATATGAAAAACATTACGGCGACGACAACGACGTGCGTTTGATTTCGGACGCACGTCGATAGCGCGTTACAAAGTCGTTTGCATAATGCCATGTCATGTCTCGTATATTTTATAGTTTTCTATATCCATATCGTGTTTGTGTGTTGCCATTAGCCACGCTGTTTTTATTATTTTTGAATATTCTGGATAGAAATAATAAATACAAATAAAATTAATTATGTAGTTAACATAGGGGAATTTATTTTAGGAGTATCAAAAGTATAAATCTAGGCTGTTTTGAATAAAAAATACATATATTATCTTAGAATTTTGAATTCTGATAATTTATAACACACATATGTGTATAAAATGATTTTACTAGTGATTTTTGTGCGCCCAAAGAACAATTAGGTAGTTTTTAAAATTTACTTAATTTAGCAATCATGATTTTTTTAAAAGATTCATTCATTGACTATGACTGAGACTAAATGATTATATAAAAATTGAAAAAGCGTGACAAAGTTCCAAGGAAGGCATAAACATAATACGAGTACATAAATTGTACGTCTATATAAACCGCATGTGCCTTATAATTATAGGGGCAATGGTTTTGATTAAATGTTAGACGTCATTATACGCTGCATTAGAAGGATTCATTTGATGTATCGATGAACAGAAGAGATGTAATAAAAAATAATAAACAACGGCTTGTACATGATATACAATTCAGTATAAATTATGTATGTCTAGATAAAATGTTACATATATTAATATTAATTTAAATCAACCTTAATACAAATATGTATGTAAAATTTCTGGTTTTATAAAAAAAAATTGCATTAATCTATATACCTATACTAGCTGACCCGACAGACGTTGTCCTGTCTACACGTCTTTAATTTAAAAATTTCAAACTTTTTTTAATAAGCTAAAACATTCTGGACCATTTTGATGAAAATTATTATTCAAATTGTGAATCTAAACCATTCTCAGATCCCCTTGACCACACACAAAAAATTTCATCAAAATCGGTCCAGTCGTTTAAGAGAAGTTCAGTGACATACACACTCACAGAAGAATTATATATATAAAGATAAAACAAAGTCGGGTTTGTTACAAGATTTATAACTCGAGAACTGCTGGGTCGATTTTCATGGTTTTTGTTTTGTTGGATTTGTCTCTGCCCCGAAGAGCAGAATAACTCTTAAAACAACAGAAAACAAAACACGAAAAAAATTAAAATTTATATACGCTGGCCAATAATATATCTATCTAAAATGTACCGAGAGACGAACCCGAGAAGAAACGAGGGTGAGTCGCTAGTGCAACATATATTGACGTCTGATCATTTATTCTCAGCCTTTCTTTACTCCCTAATAATTATGTCAATTTCAAATTATCCATAAGGATAATTAATCTATAAGTAATATGTTAACGATTTTCATAAAGATGTTCCGAGATTCAATAAAAAATTGCTCGATTGAGCCTAAATGTCTAATGGAATAAGTGAAATCTTAACAGCACAAAGTTACGCACACGATGTTTCGAAACTGATGTAATTAATAATATAATAGAGTTATAATTTTATTTGATACTAAAGCAATTATAATTTTAATATTTTTAAATAATACACTGTACGAAAATCCATACATTAGGTGATCCGCCTTTGATATTAAAGTAAATCACGCCAAATGAAAGGGTTGTGAAAATATACCAATTTTCATGGCGAATGTTTTCGAAGTTAAAGCGCGGCAGTTCTATCTCGTGGCGAGTTAGAATTATAGTAGTACTACTTCCAGCCTAAAATCGTCTCCCAACTGTCATGTAAAAGTATGTATGTAAGAAAGTTGGGAGCGCCTCAGCTCGCACGCCCCGCGCGATAGGTTGACACCTTTGATAGACGTTGGTATGGATTAGTAGACAAACAAAAAGAAATCTCCGACACATCTTTATGACATAATATGACTACAAAACGCAATTTAATGTATAAATTTGTCATCGTAAAATGAAATAAATAAGAACTAACATAAAAATTTAGGAATATGTAAAGAAATATTTTTAATAAAGTTCAACCAGAGGTATTAATCCAAGCGATGTAAAAATGTAGGCAATATATTTTCTTACTATTTCTAACAAACTAAACCACTTCAGTCCGTAAGATATTTGGTCTTTTAGTCGAGATCGCTTGAGCGGTTTTGTCGTAACATTTAGTAAACTGAGACTCCTGCATTTATATTTAAATTGCAAAATATGCTTTACATATATATTGGCAATTTCAGTAAAAATATACAAAATAATTACGTTTTGTAGAAATATGAAGTTAAAGTATATATTTTGTGCCAAAGAAAATATTTTTCATATACAATATACACTTTTACCTAATGTTACTTAAATGTATTCATATACAAGTTTTTTCTTGATTAAGCGCGAACTTTGCTGCACTTAGATATAGCCCGTTGTGAATAAGCCTGGTTTGTTATTCTTTTTAGCCGAGGGTATCTTGGTAGTTAGATATATAGGTTGGCGTTGCCATGTAGATTTCTGACATTGATAGGACTTGGTTTCTTCCTCCCGTACAGAGGCTGTGCACAACGGGCTCATATACATGTTTATATAAGAATAAGTATGTAATATTACAACATAACATTTACATTATCAACATTTTATATATCTAATGACATAACTTTTTAATTTTGAAAATAATAATATTTTACACTTTACACGTTTCTTTGAAGACTAATTGTTGTGTTAAAATAAATTGTGTCGTATGTTGTACACCGAATTATAATTGTGCCGCACTGAAATTAGTCTCGACAATACAGCAAATGCGATGCTATTGATATTCGTAAATTCACACAGCCATTTGCAGCTTATTTTAGGACAGCACAGTTGTAATACACATACTTTACTATAAAATATATTACTTTCTGTCTATATTTCTTTAGCTAAATATTATTTAGTTTTATAATCATGATTTTAATAGTAAATAATAGTACACACTGTATTTTTCATATGAAACTATGTATTGTTAGTCATTTAGTTATACACATTTATTATTCTTTTTTGTATTTTGATAAAAATACAAAAAAAACAAAAACAGCTATGAAAATTGTATATATGTATGTATGAAATACTTATAGATTATTTATAATGTACAAGTGAATTTTATATACATATATACATACGTACTGGGCGTAGATGGCGTAATCGGAAACTAAGTATTTACTCGTATATTGTATGTAGGTACCAACATAGTATATATATCCCAGCACCCAAATGAACAATTTATCCTGTAGGTATATGTCAATGTATTTGAATATCAGTAGGTACATAATATCAAATATTTGTAATAGATAATTGTGATTTTATGAGATATATGCAGTTGTCGTGAGTATTTTATCAATATTAATTGTATGTTATTAGATGACAAATGGATTACAAAGATGGTTCGATTTAATTATTTAATTTATTTCAATATAAGGATAATTGAATTTAAATTTCTACATAAAGAATTTAATTTCGCCGTTTTTGAACTCTTCACCTTATTCGCCTAAGTACACCTTTAAAGTACTACACATACATACATACCTGGCGTATTCGGAAACCATCAATATTTAAAAGAATCTGGGAACTAGGACAATGAGATTGACAAAGCGTGAAAAACACGGCGGTTGAAACCATAAGCCTACGGTACTTATAAAAAGTACGCTACGGTACGTATAAAAAAAAACAATTTTAATTTTTTCTGTCTCTGTCTGTATGGTCTGCCGTCTGGCTAATCTCTGAAACGGCTATGCCGATTTTGACGGGATTCTAACTGGTAGGTAGCTGATGTTATAGCGAGTAACTGAGGCTACTATTATTTTAGAAAGAGAAATAGGGTTCCGCGCAAAAATGTTTAATCCCATGAAATTGTTAACAAAGTCCTCGTACCTAGCGCAGGACGCACGTAGTACGTAATACGCAGATATACACTCTGTCTATGACTTTTATTGTTCTCATGAAAACTATTCTATCCTTTTAGTGTTAAGAAGAAAATCTTTGTATTGACGTCGTAGAGCGTGTGTTGTGTCAATTAATGTAATAACAATATTAATAATATTTACCAAGTCGTGGTAGTTTAGTGCATGTAATACCTATAACATTTTATCGTTAATTATAGGTACTTCTACTTGTTCGATGTTTATAAATAATTAAGTATAAATCGAAATATATCTTTGTAGAATTTAGTTGACATAGAAATATTTTTTTCATTTGAGCAGGTACTAATTTTAAATTTAAATTCGCTTGAAAGATAAAATAAACATTTTAAGGTACTTTTTTTAAATACATTATTTAATCAAAGCCATTCTTTATGAATATTAGGTACCTACGCGTGCACGTTTTTACGACTAACGTAAAATGAATAATTCTATTTTAAGTTCTATGTAATATACATGCCTTTTGTGAAGCTATTGCTGTTTACTTGTAGTGAATATAATAATGTAATTATTAATATATTACCTAGATGTGAGTAACATTCCAAATCGTCTATATCTTAATATATTGACTTTTCTTTCTCTCGATGTAATGTTCAATAGTAAATAAAATGTTTACTTAATGTATCACTGACTTTTATTTTAATATTTATTTAAATTAATAATTCAAAAATCTTTAAAATTATTTAAAATAGCAACAATAATAATTCAAATATTACTTAAATGACAGATATAACACAGATTATAAACAAAAGTGGTTCGAATAATAATAGAAAATATTAGTATTCCTAATAATGAAGGGAGTGGGTATCGATGTGACACCGCCCGCCGCCGGTGCCGGGCCGCGCCAGGCGCGCGCGTGACCGCACGCCACCGCCCGCAGGACGCCGCATCAAAACGAAATTACTTTTAACATTAATAAACCATATTACTCTAATTTGAATTTACTTTCTACTTCTTTTAACAAACCTTTGAAAACTCCCCGTAATGTGTACCAGTTGTTTTTTACCTCCACCTGATATCGGATGACTTTTTTTGTGTCGTTAATTTCTTACATAACTGCAATTTGTAAGTCATGGCGTTTAATTAGTGTACGCGGGAAAATTTACCTGTCTGTTATCAATTATCACAACAAAGGCTATAATTAGAGCTATGACTGACAAAGAGGTATCACAAACAAAGCAGTTGACAGAGGATGAAATCAACAGGGTACGTATGCACTGCGATATAAATTGTATATGTTTATTTTATGTTATTAAATTTAAGTAACTATTATAATGAGCCTACTTCTGTGATGCGTTACTATCAACGAGTGAACGAATTGTTGAGTTTGAAAGTAGGTATATTAATTTTATTTATCAATTATTATTTATGAGAACATAACCATTAGTAAAAGCTTGTATGTAACAAATGCCTTCGTAGATATTTAGAATCACAAAATTTATAGACTGAACTATCTAGAGCCATACATATAAATACAACTGTGTACTACCTAAACGGAATTTCTTAAACAAGGTCAAGCTGAAATGGTAACCATTACAGCTTATATTTGCGACAGGCTGTCTTATTTTGAACACATGGTCAATAAACCATGGAGTAATATTATCTTAGGTCACAAAAGATAGGTACCTATATGGAACGTCTGGATATGATTATCATAGAAAACTTGCTATTCGTTCTTGAAATCTTATACGTGGCCCTTTAGCGGGATTTCATATAGATTATTATTATATTTTATTACGTGTTAATTATAACACTTTTTTAAAAAGCAATATATCTTTTTCGTCAAAAGACTGAAAGTAGGTGGCTCAATAGAAAAGCATTAGGTGTAACTTTTTAATTGCCACCCTCAAGTCGCACCAATAGCGCTACTTCAACGTGCGAACACCTTGTCTGTTTTATCGATAGTTTAACACTTCCTTATCAACACTAGTAGTGGAAAAATTTAAACTGCAATCGTTGTTTAAACAATAACGCAGTTTTACATTTAAACGATATTAAGTTCTTTCCTTAATAGACATAACTATGCGATCAATAGTAATGCTGTTAATATACTCGTTATTATAAATAATAAATATGGATAAGTTAAGTGACAAGGAAAAAGTTGAAGCTCGCGAACAGTTTGAGAATCAATTACGTTTCGCTTTCGTTAAATATGATTGCGAAGAAGATGAAGAAGTGGTAGAGGTAAGAATTTATGACGCTAAGTTATAAGATGTCCAATATTTAATACTAAATGATCTATCTAAATTATATGTAATAAAAATCTATGCAATAAAATACAAATAACCGTAATAGTTCTTTAGTGGAAGCATAAATAATAAAGTAGGTACCTACCTAAAACTTTAATGTTCATTGAGCTTTCTTTCCTAACTATTGAGTCAACCATAAAAGGCACCAAGATAGTACTTGACTAACATTTCCAAATACTTAGACATAATATTATGCATTTCATTATTCAAAAAACAAAAATATTTAAGAAATATAAGAATGAAATAGGAATTATTTGAATTTTCCAATTTGCTTATAATTCAAACCACTATTACTAATCCCAAGTAAAAATTATTCTATTTTAAAATTTTATACGTAAAACATAAAACTTTCCACGTTATGGCATAATACTACGTTCGTTCGTCAAATTGTTCTCATATGCTTAGTTCGCTCTTTCCGCAGTCGGTTTTATTTTTTAAATTAATTTTATGTATTTGTTACTTGTGCATTAAAAATAATAATAGGTAAATGCAGTATTTATGAATGAATGAAATATGAATGCATTTATGAATGAAATAATTATATGTTAGCTGTGTTTGAAAAATCTTTCTAATTATTTTACCAGTTATAAAATAAAAAGCAATTGTATTTTTGCTGTAGCAAGATAAATATTCAACTATATATATCGTAACTGGCCATATTTTTGCTTAAAGTAATATTTAAATATAAAATAATATGTTGACGTTGATTTTACTACGTAATTTGTAAATAGAAACATATAATAAACGCAGTTTTTCGCCTTTTAATGCAAATCCATGTTATTAAAGTGTAATTATTAATATCGTATTGTAGACAAGATTCGATGATGTGGGCCAATAAGTATTATCTGATATTTAAAAATATTAATACTAATTTAAATTTTCATAAATATTTTAAAACTTATGCACCCAAATATGCAAAAAGGTGGCACCCTGACGTTGAATTTGTGAATCAGTTTGCTGGAGTGGCCATACATCCTACGGAAGAGATAGAGAAGTATTATAAAGTGATTTGGCATTCAAGAGTAAAGCCTGTTGAACGTAAACTAAAAAATATGTGGATAAACTTTGGCCCGCAACATCCGGCAGCACATGGTGTTCTTAGACTAATTTTAGAGTTGGACGGGGAAACGGTTGTACGTGCAGATCCTCATATAGGTTTCCTACACAGGGCTACTGAAAAATTAATGGAGAATAAACATTATATACAAAACTTACCTTACGTAGACCGTTTCGATTACGTTTCAACACTAGCAAATGAACAAGGTTTTGCAGTCGCTGTTGAAAACTTGCTCAATATTCAAGTCCCACCGAGAGCGAAAGCTATAAGGGTTCTTTGTAGTGAACTTACTCGTATAGCTAATCATCTTTTAAATATATCTGGAACAATCCTTGATGCAGGTGGGATTACTCCGTTTTTTTGGATGTGTGAAGAACGTGAAAAAATTTATGAACTGTGTGAACGTCTTTGTGGAGCTCGGGTACATTGCGCATACGTAAGACCAGGAGGAGTATCTCAAGATATTCCTATAGGATTTCTCGATGACGTTCATGAATTTTGTATGAAATTAGGAGAACGCTGTGATGAAACTGAAGATCTAGCTACAGGTAGTAGATTATATTATGCGAGAACGGCGGGTATTGGTGTTGTAAGTGCACATGAAGCTATTTACAGGGGATTTAGTGGACCAATGCTCCGATGTACAGGCGTTAAATGGGACTTACGAATTGCACATCCATATGATGGGTATGATCTATATGACTTTGACGTGCCAGTGGGTACTATGGGTGATAGTTACGACCGTCATCTGCTTAGATTAATGGAACTGCGTCAGTCATTAAGAATCATAAACCAAGTTATAGACACCATGCCTGAAGGAGAAATAAGAACCGACGATTCAAAAATATCGCTACCCCTTAGAGCAGAAATGAAAACGTCTATGGAAGCGCTTATTCATCACTTCAAACTTTGTACTGAAGGCTTCGTAGTACCACCAGGTGCAACTTATACTGCTGTCGAATGTCCTAAAGGCGAATTGGGTTTTTATATGGTAGCGGATGGCACCTCTAAACCATATCGTGTTGGTATAAGATCTTGCTCTTATAATCATTTAGCAGGATTAGCGTTTATGGGTAAAGGATTAATGCTCGCTGATATATCTATCTTGATCGCAACAATTGATATCGTATTTGGTGATATAGATCGGTGAATATTCTTTTATATAATAATAGTTTTATATAAATAGTAATAATAATCATAAGATTCTTATTTATTAAAATTTAAAGAAAACAAATTAATATTATAGTGCATCATCACCATTATGTGACATAAGTATTAAGTATTATGTTGGATACATATATATTACGTACGAAGCAAGGGTGAATCGCTCGTATTCTTTAAACACATAAAACTTTATCTAATATTTATGTTATTCATTGTAACACATAATGCTCTCTATGCATTAAATAGGTGTATATATATATATATATATCAACTTGAATGATGATTTGTTTGTTTTTAGGGTTCCGTACCCAAAGGATAAAACAGGACAATTGAAATATTCACAAATATTTAGTTATATATTCCCTTTAAAAATAAATAAATAAAAACAACAAATATTTAAGGAGGGCTCCCATACAACAGACATGATTTTTTTTGCCGTTTTTATAGATAATGGTACGGAACCCTTCGTGTGCGAGTCCGACTCGCACTTAGCTGTTTTTAAGCTTCTGCTTCATATATTAAGTTCTTAATAATTAATTTCATAATATTCTCATATATTATTTTCGTAACTATTCAACTTTTAAATTATGTGAATTCTATTTCTTACGCGAATTTCTTGTGAGTACTTGATTTTGGCACAAAAATCGCCTCATTATGTTTCGCGCAAGCACAAACGATGCAAGATACATCATTTTTTATGGGCATGATAGCGAACATGCTCTGCTATCGAAATTACACGAATCAACTCACAAGTCAGTCAAAAAATATTATTGTGAGCCAGCCGACATGTGTCTTACGCGGAAATAGACGATCGGAATAAATTTTGAAATTAATTTGTAAAATGTTATGAATTAGTGAAATTCTTGAAAAAATAACAATATGGTTGATCTGGTTGTTGTTCAGGTATGAAAATAGATTATTTAAAACTATACCTACTTCGAATTTTTTAAATTCCAGATTTAAGCAGATTTCATCTGATTTAGATATTATTTTTACTATATATTAGTCAACAGTACTTATTGATTAATATTTAATGAAATATCAAAAATAGTTGGTTCGATCTAGATAGGAAATCTTTAAATTTGTAAAAGTTTTCCTTTTTAATTATTATATTTTTCTTATTGATCACTATTTCGAAATTCTCAATTGGGACCTATTTCAATACTATAACAGTTCCTCCAGGTAAATTTCTAAGAAATCTATTGTTAACAGTAACGCCGGCGTGTCCGCGGTCGTGGAGAGATTAAATATTTAAATACGAATAGTTACATAATTTTAAAGAGAAATTTATTCTAAAACAAACAATTTATTATATTAGTTTATATTAAAGTTCGCCAAAAGTTTTATTTTTCTCTATAGGTAGATTAAATAACCAAAGTTGTCAGCTTACTACCGATGATAAACGTCCATTAAATTTTTTATGGTGTTCGTGATAAATGCCACTATGTCTCATACGGGAACGATAGATGTTATCTTTTAGCATGTGAGCATAAAAATGGTAGGTATTTCAGTTCGTGCAGTATTTCTTTCCCTTGTGCTTAGTCTTGTGATTTCTTTTCACGCATTCACGTAAATTCTTTTATTTCATTTTAAGCTTGGAAGTGTGTGGGAGCTTAAATTTTAGTTTGTAATGTTAGGTATATTTAAAAGAAATTTCTCAAATTAACTAGTTAGTTTACATGTTAAAATTTTTGCAAAATGGATTTGACGGTATTTGGGAGAATTATAAGTAATTTTGTAAGTATTTAGAAAAAGAATTAATAGGTAACATTTTTTTGCTATTATCATTCATAGTTGTGCAGTACTCAGGAGTATAGGAAGGACGTAAACTAAGCAAATGTGACGCAATTCATAAGTATCATTTTTCAATTATTTTTTCGTAATGGCTTATCTTAAAAAAATTAAGGTTCAATATACTACTAACTTCTGCACGTCCATTATTATTTTTTATTGAATAACAAGAAACTGTGTCTATTCACATATATATATTTACTTTCTATATTAAGGTTCTATAATTAAGGTTCTGTAATTTTCAGAATTTTTGATAAGATTTTCTCGGAAAGCTAAGCATGACAAAGATTGTTTTATTTCTACCTAAAAAAAATAGTTTTTATAGCCTAGAATTTATAATAGTAGGGGAACCCAAAAGGGATTTACTCAAGCGCGGCAGATTAACATAAGAGGGGAGTCCTTGTACTCTGTTGAGTACCTCCGCCATATACAAGTCCTCTGTATAGGGTCTCGCGTCTAGGGCAACCGATCAAAATATTAAAAAAATGTTTTGATAACATAGAAATACTTGAGCGCGTCAGATTAAGGTGTCGTGGGATAATTACATGCTGAAAAGTGTGCAATTCAATAATCTGCGGATTTCCACAAGCGGAAGAAACAAAAATCATCCAAAAACTTTATGTAAACTTTTTAAAATTCCTTCTTGGGCTTCCCGTCCTATATAATAGTGTTAATATTTTGTATTCCCACTAAATTTATTGAAGGATATGATTGGTCTTATTTTTATTATCTTATATAATCAAATGCATGTATGGTTTATCCATCTACTACTATAGGTATAGACTATCGCAATATAATTTGTATTATATAAATTTAGCTTATTATGTAGTTTATATAAATACTATACGAAGAAGGCTACGTCCGTTGTCCGTTCGTTGGATCAAGGTAAAAAGAAACTAATACTGTCAGAACCAACGGACATGATATCTGAATATATAGTAGGAATAGCTGGATTAGCAGTGGCGGTAATTGAAATTGTCTAAAAAGTATATAAGATGATCCATCTGACCTTCAGTGGCACTGTTCGATCGTCTTCTCGTTCGAACTCTTCATCACGAACTCTTCATCATCTTCCGGCGAATGAAGGTTTCCTAATCATTCATTAAGCTAGTAATTTAGTACACGTAAATTCTCATGCGCAATTTTATTAACGCCTATTGTTTTCCCTTAAAATGTTTGTCTAGTTTGGTTTGATTTCGTTCGCTACCACAACCTATACATATAATAAAACAGTAACTTTGCAAAATCCATGTGAGCGTTTCACGTAAAAAGTACTGAAATGAACTAAATTTTGTAACTTATTAATCGGGTCAACATTTAGGATATCTTTTACTATAGGTTTTTTTTTCATTCCTACGGGGAAAGACTATACGGTCCTATCAAGTCGTCCTTATATGGCTAACGATGGCTAAACCTTAATAGATACATCAAAACAATGTACTAGAAAAATGTAGGTATAATAAGGTCTACAGAAATGTCCGCAATAGTAAATGTATGTATATCTCCCAAAGTACACTCGCAATAACTTTTTATTATATATTAAAGGCAATGTCGCGACTCACTGGCTGACTTATCAACGATCTGTCCAAGCCGATGATGATACCCCCCCACAAAAAACCAACCTTATATATCTATCTACCTATACTAATATTAAATGCGAAAGTAAATGTGTCTGTCTGTTTGTCCGTCACCTTTTTACGCTTAATACGCTGAACCGATTTAGAAATCTATAGTAAAGAAGCCGCGATCTGAGAAATCTATACTATAGGCACCGACTTCAAAGTTATCAATAGGTAGCACATACAAATAATTGTCTTTTATTAATATTAAAGGTATTATTAGGTTTGCATAAGAGGTGAATTAAATTAAATCTTTATTAAGTTATTTTATACTTTTTAGTTTTTGAAGTCGGTTTTTTTAAATGTAGTTATTTTTTTATAAAAAATCAGTAGGTGAAAAATCAATCATCCCCTATTTTTTACACTTAGGGGTGGATTTTTCGTTTTCAAATTTAATTGGGACCAACTTTGAGTTATACCTATCTAAAAAAATATCGAAATCGGACTATACTGTAAAAAATTATGCGTGGTGAAACATAAAAAAATATATAATTTTATTTCAAACTAGAGTTGCTCACGTGTATCTTTATGTACGTCGCTCCGCTCCTTACATACAGGTTACATAGACCTTACTCCAGGCTATAATATCCAAGAAGGACTTTTTTTAAATACGGACTGTTCCAGAGAAAAGTGAGTAAAAATTACCGAAAAAAACATCAAGCTTCACTTATCCATACTAATATTAAATGCGAAAGAAAGTAACTATGTCTGTCTGTCACCTTTTTCAAGCTTAATTTGCTTAACCGATTTAGATGAAATTTGGTATGAAGTCCACGATACGGAGATAGTCATCGTGTCTCGTTTTGTCACAGCACATTTGTATAAAGCTTTTTCTTTTCTCACGAATATCACATGACCTATGGCTCCATCTGAAATGTAGATAACTCTAATTATAATTTTGCTTTTCATAAATCGCACGCATTTTGCATCGACGTAGAGAATGCAAATTCGTTACGGCATATTGGCACGCAGGTAACAGGTTTGCTCAAAGTACGAATCCAGTTTAAGGTAGCCGTATTCATTTTCACCATTTATTCTGAGGGTGTTTATAAACTTTGTAGGAGTACATGCGTAAGATGTACTCGTATCTTTATACTACGACGTAGTATAGTACAAGTAATTGGTATAGTTTTACTAAGGTTTTTTATTATTTTTTATAATAACTATTATTTTGTTTATAATAATTTTTATATTTTTTAATATTAGTTAATATGAAATAAATTTTCTGAAATAAATTAACTGAATTGAATTAGTATAAGTAAACTGTTTCGGTGCCCGAGAGTTCTACTTTATTCCTCAACCGTATAATGTTTTTTCATCGTCTTATTCAGTAAAAGGAAATATCGCAAAAATATATAATCGATGATTCGAGGCGCTGATTGATAGGAATTAATAGTAACAGCTATGAACATGATCATTCAGGAAGTAAGTTATATAGTGTTTATTAATGTTCAATAGTTAGTAAATCTGAGTGTCAAAAACTAGATCCGGCATAACTGTGCCATGTGGTAAATTTTAAACCCTAAGAAAATAAAATTATTAACATAGCATTGTTAAAAGAAATAAAGTAAACACCAAAAAGGTACATATATTTAGATTTTAAAGAATACCTATTACCTAACTACAAAGTAATAGAAAACATAAGAATTAATCCACTTCTTACCCAGAGGCCCGATATATGTACCTACCTACATATATGACCTAGCAGGGCAGTGAGCCACTCTACGTAAGGTTGGTCTGGTTGAGTATAATATACTTAAAAGTATTTATTTAAAAATAGCGATAAAAAGACATAGCATTCATTATATCTCTGTTTTGTTACGGTTTTTTTTTCATTACTGGCAAAGCAAAAAAAATCTATACTAATACCTCGCGGTTAATTTCTGAGAAATTGTTAACCAAACCACCTGTGGCTTCGCAGTCGTAGATATAATATTATATAGAGGTAAAGTTTGTGAGTTTGTGACGTTGTAGGGGGTAAACTCTGGATCTACTGAACCGATTTAGATGAAATTTGGTAAGAAGATAGTTTGAGACCCTGAGAAGGACATATAACACTTTTTATTCCGGAAATCATCCCTTAAAGAGGTGAAAATGGGGCTGAAAGTTTGTATTAGCAAGCAAGCTAGGGACGAACCCGAGCGAAGCGAGGGTTAGTCGCTAGTATTACTATATTCCTTCGACAATTTGTTTTCATCTTTTTAGATAGCATTTATGTAGTCGGGTTCTTTATTTTTATAACATATTTTTTTATTTACAGTTTTTAATTTTTGCCAATTAGAAGTAATATTCAGCAATTTTTTTATCCTAAATTACTTTTAAACATATAGCTTATATATGTTTTTGTGATCGCCTCTTAAAACCTTTATTTTGATACCCCACTCGATTAGTTTGGAAGGAGTTTTTTGAAGACCCAAATTAGCGCCTGAAATCCGCCATTCGAATTTTTAACTATTTTTTATACTAGAACACTCGCGTCATCAATACGAATCTAACGACGTATGAATCATCAAAATCAGCCCACATGTTCTGTCTATAGAATGCCATATAGGGACAAACATACATACATAGACTGATAAATATATTAGCCTCCTTTTTTGCGTCGCGCAGTCGGGTATAAAACGTCGTCACGCAGGTCAGTAGGTACTAATTTTAATAATTGTCTTTCCCGGCTAAACCCCGTTAATCAGTTATTTTTTGTAAAATGTAAAATTAACTGAGAACAATAAGAAACATGCTATGCATATAATTGACAAAAATGTTAAATTAAGTTTTAAAAGAATCAACAAAATAATGTACTCCTAACATAAAATTACCGTAGCGGAATATCTTCGCCGCACGAAAGAAATTTCTTGATTTATGGCAACAGAATTCACGAGTATCATATATTGACACCTTTTGTAAATGCGTATAAAAGATAGATAGCCTAGATAAGTCTGTTGCGTGCCAGTGTTAATATTTGTGCAAGCAAGTGATATGCCGTACCACCCCCTTCCCTTTTAATAACACCTTCTACTTGTCCATTTAATTTGCATAATACAACTATTGTCTCGTCTAAAACAGTGTTTGCTACCGACAGTTCGAAGCAGCTCGCTCGATGCGCTTGTTCATTTTCATCGTAGGTGTCAATGTTATGGCAAAATTTTTGCCTATGATTTGTTTGACTTAAATTCGAACGGGTTATGGTATACACGCAAACGCCTAAATATCAAAATGGATCGAAATTTTGAATAAATATTTTATTCACTTTCTTACCACATTCCACTTTTGAGTAAATTTATAAAATAAAGTAAATCTAAAAATATTTTGTCTTTGTTATAATCAAATATGTTCGTGTGTGGTATAAGGCCAGGTTCTAGTGATGAGGAAGAAGAGGAAGACGTTATGGATATTCTCCAGGTCTGCACAAACTAGAAATGTCTTTCAAAATTATTTCATTTGGGTTTTCGTGTAAATGTAGGATAGTTTTACTCATATATTAATTTAGCCTTAATGATTTTTTAGAAAAGACGTGAAGAATGCGAACGCAAAGCAAGGCGGGGGGAGATGGACCCTCGATTGGAGTTCACATTTCAACTCCTAATCGATGGTACAGGTCTCCCACGACATGCCATTATGGACCATGTATTCGAAGGAAATATGGTATAATATTTTTTTAATGGAATAAATTCTATTCTACATCTTATAATGTTAATAAATCTTTATACAATATTTTAGCTCGATGACATTAACCAACTATTTCTACCGCATATGAGGAATAAATTGCTTTGGTATTACCAAGATGTAGAGGAAATTGAACATCGTCCTTTACCAGAAGGTACTAAGTCAAGACAACAAGGGCAAGGAAAGCAACCGCCTCCTCAGATTACTCTTAAAAAGAAGCTGTTTTTGTCTGATGGTTGGGATGTTAAGTTTACTGGTGTCTGTATTTATATGTTTCGTATAAACGTAAGCAAGCAATTGCCTGAAGAAGGATTTCATAAGGATTTGTAAGTATTAAATTAGCTGCAGCATATATTTGAGTACTTTTTCTTAAAATAAACATGATGTTAAAATAAAAAATAATTGTATAATATATAAATTTATTAACAATAGGTTTTGTGGTATCCTAAATGCGGAGCAAGTGGGCTTAGTGACGGCTATAGAAAGAATTATGGAATTTGTGTACATGAGCGCCCTGGCCCATCCAAGTAGCGATGGAGATGAAGATGAAACCCGGTTTCCCATCGTTAAGAATCAACTATTACCCGGTTTACGCTCCTTTTGCAGTGCTTTAAAAGGTAATCTTTGGCACTGGCAGTATAGGCACAGTGAATAATATGACACGTATGTTGCCAGTAGGCTGTTAAAGTAGGAAATAAATTATGCATGATTTATAAGTCTGACACAAAAGCGACTTAGCCACTTAATTTCTTTTATCCTCCTAGATCATTTTTCCTTTCAATCATTTAAAGACAAGACACAATAATATTTTAGTTGGTTCTTTAATTTATTCATTTTTAATGAAAATTATAATTTTGTTAATTTCATCCACAGGTGTAAAGGTTTATTTGAAAATTCATTGCGATATGTTTTTATTTTATATAAAATTTTAGTACACAATTAATTTTTCTTTTATATATTTATTACTAAATAAGTAACATTTTTTTTACATATCAGTTTGTGAAGAAGTATGCAATCAAGTGAACCTTTTTGATGATGGAAAAGCTTTAATGGCAAATTTGAACGACCATGCCGAGTTAAAGGAAATGATAAAAAACCCAAATACAATTACTACCTTAGAGGAAAGAGTAAATGAATGGATCAAAAAGATTATGGAGGTTTGATTTTTATATTTTATATACTTTTCTTTAAAAGCTTTTCGCTAAAATAGAACTTTATTAAAGTTTCACAACTTTCTAAGCAACTACTAACTTTCTAAGAATATTAAATTAAAAGACAAGACAGCCAGACAACTTGGTTTAGCTATAGGATAACTGAGTAAAAAAGAAGTAAAACTGCGTAAAATTAAAGATGATAAAATTTGTCATATACAATATTTCAGATATTAAGTGAAAGTGAGCAACTACGCCGCGAAGTAGATTCTAGCGGTCCCCAAGACGAGCTTGAATATTGGAAAAAAAGAGGAGCACAATTTTCCCAACTTGTTTCCTATCTGCAGGTATGAGTTTCTGTTCAATTTGTCTTCGCTTATCATATTATTTAAGTATATCACAGTTTAATCGGATAGGGACAAAAATAATTGATAACATAATCGGTTCACAAACTTTAAGCCGAAATTTTTTTATGCAAAGCAAGTAAAAAAAAAACGTTTTTTTTTTGGTTGAATTCGTAACCTACTTTATATACAATGTAACATTTGCTTAAAGTTACTGATCTTTGTTTGCTTAATTTGCTTAATTACTAATAAATTTTGCAATTCCGACCTGGAAAAAACACATTGTTGGAAAAGAAAAATAATTTCCAGTGTGCAATATAAGTAATATAAAGATTTATCTACATTTAATTATTGATTAATTCTTGATTTCTCTAATACATACACATCTAAAATTCTAAAACTGTTATTATTGATAAAAAAATGCATTTTCTTTCAGAACAGCGAAGTTCAATTAACGTTAACCTGTCTTCAACTGGCAAATTCAAAATACATAAAACTCTGGCGCGACACTGACCATAAAATAACATTCTGTTACAATGAAGCGAAGGACAATGCAAAATTCATACAAGCAATGGAAAAATGCTGTCATTCTTTATATTTAGATGATCCTGTAAAAATAAAAGATTCCATATTGAGTTTACTACAGACCGTTAGATTAATTCATAGCGTTTCGCAGTTCTATAATACATCTGAAAGAATATCATCATTGATGGTCAAAGTATGTATAATATTATTCAAACATTAAAAATTATAATTAATTTGTCATTATATAAATACTCTTATATTTTCTATTTTCTTCTTTATTAGATAACCAACCAAATGATTGAAACTTGCAAACAATACATAACCTGTCGCTTTAAAGAGACGATTTGGTCTCAAGACCGAAATTTGGTGCGAGAAAAATTGATTCATTGCATTAATCTGAATAGAACATATAGAGAAACTTACACGTTTGTAAAAAAGCAGGCTTTCCTTCCGAATGCGGAACAATTTAGTTTTTCCGAAAATTATGTCTTTGGAAAATTTGATACATTTTGTAAAAGGATTAACAAAATCATATCTATGTTTGACTTGATGGATGACTACAACCATTTATTTGAAAAGCGCATGGAAGGTTTACTCTTAGGCGAAGGTAACTAGAAAAATCGCTTTAGATTTAATCCTTATATACTTTCCTAAATAATAACAGTTACACCGAATTTGGCTTAAAAAGTAATTAAAGCTGCCTCGTGATGGATTTTTTCCCAAATAAAATTTCGGAACACTCTCAAAGTATTGCCTTTATCATGAGTAAAAATCGTAAATATACAAGTGACACATAAAAGTATAATTATATGCCTAGAATAATCATAGTAGTGTAATTTGAACAAATTCTAACAAGAGAATTTCTAGATCTAGAAGATGCGATGCATGCTTTCAATGAAGCGAAGAAGGCCGTGACATCTTGTCAGTACGACTATCTTGACTACCGTAACAATGAGTTTGATAAAGATTATCACGCCTTTGAAGACAAGACCAACGCATTGCGAGAGTCAATTGGAAATACCATTGAAGTGAATTTTGCTAGCGTTTGGGAGACGCCACAAGGCATCAAATTTCTTACTAGATTTGAAAAAGTAAGTATTATTTACAAAAATATAGATGAATATGATAAATTAATTATTCATCGATTGATGACGTTTGATTATGACTTATATAATAGAACAGAACTCAAGTCCTTTTGGTCGATTTCGGTCACGACAGCTAAGTTCACTGAGACTAGCCGAATGGGTGGGATTTATATTTTGGTTGCTAATGAGAATTGATTAACAGAAAAACTCAATAATTATAAATTGCCGACTCGAGCTTCGAACTCAAGATCTCCCGATCTGTAGTCTTACATGCAAAATGCAAATGATTACGAATTGCAAATGTTTACGAGCCTCCTTGCAATATATTTCAGGTCAGCCAGAAAATTCAAATTACAAAATTAAGCGAAAAATATGATAGAGTTTTGAAATACAGTGAGAAAGAAGTAGATAAAATAATGAAAATGTTTAAAAGACAAAAAGATGATCCTCCGTTACCAAGAAATTACTCACCAGTAGCAGGTACGCTCTTGGTTGTCTTATGTTCAAGTCATGTTATTTAAATATTTAAATTATATAACCTCCAATATATTTATACCTAGTTATTTGTGCTAAGTCTGACTTAAATTTCCAGTACAGATTGTAGACACAAGTGCTTAGTGCTCCCATCTTTCCGAAAGTGGATCATCACAATTACGTTTTTTAAAAATAATAATAATAAAATTAGTGAATTTATTGCACTTGCATAAGGGATATTTTTCTTCGTAATTCATTAATATTTTTTTAATACATATGAGTATCTCCGTTAAAGAATTTAGAAGCGCATTAGGCATGAGAAATGTTGAAGCAACGAGTGATATTTTCTTAAAAATTCATTTATTTTATAATTTAACATAAAATTTATTTATATTAAGCGTCATAAGGTGCAATGAATCGACTTTAATAATTGATTGATTTCGATCTTTACGATGGACGTTCTTTTGCCAAAATCTGTAGCATGTAGCCTTCCTCAATAACATGTTTTAACAAGTTCCTTACTTATTATTTATTTCACACACTGGGGTATGTCAGGTCGTATAAAATGGGCGCGTTGCCTAATGCACAACATGCGCGAGACGGTGGAGAGCGTGAGCGCGCACCCGGCGCTGCGCACGCTCCCCGCCGCCGCAGACATCACGCGCAAGTACTGCGTGACGCGCGCGCTCATTGACGGCTATGAGGAGACATTGCGCGCTGTGTGGATGAACCAGAATGTTAGTGTTTATACTTACTGGCTTACCTGCACTTCCCTCACTAGGAGCTATCTACGTATACAATTATATGTACATATATTATATATTTCATAAATTTTATCAGCCGATACAGAGCTGTTTCAGACTAAAGGAGTAGTTAACAAACACACATATACATATGTACTTATACAAACGTTTATATTAATATATTAATATTTTAATAGTTCAGCATCACTATACTCATAGCTTTCTCGCTATGTTGTTTTCCATGTAATTTTGGAAGGACTCCACCACACGAGCATTCATTAACAACTACGAGGAGACCATGCGTGTTGGCGATTGTATTCATTCATCGTGAAATATTAACTATCAATGATTCACGATCAATTAATATTTTAATTTATGACTTATAAAATCTGCAATTTCATCGAAAACATGTTATATATTCATTAACTCTAAAACTTTTAATAAAAATTAAAAATAAACTTGACTATTTTTCTATTTTTAGCTATGGGATGTTGATGACAGCTTAAATAACACTTTATTGAAATTAGATGATTCTGGCCGAATCACCGTGAATTTAGACCATACGATTAAATTACTGATAAGAGAATCTGATTGTCTTGTCAAAATGGGCTTAGGACTGCCTATCGTATGTCACTCATTGTATGCAAAGAGAAATTATTTTACCCTTGTTAATGACTCGTTACAGGTATGGTATAGTAACAATAATATTGTTATAATATTGTAAAATCGTGTTTTTTTCGGAAAAGATATAAAAATTGCCAAAAGATATTAAAGACACCTTTAAAGGTGAACTTAAAAAGCAAAACTTTATCTAAATCGAAAAAAATTGGATAATCCAAATCGTTAGAGCCGGCTCAGAGATACACGAAATAAATTTATGTACATATATGTATATACAAGAATATCTCATATCTCATTTAATATTATAAGAATTAAGATTAATTTAAAATGATTTTCTATTGCAGTTTCTTCTAGAAGACTATCTAAGAACAATAAGGCAAGTGAAGCTAGAAGTTCGACCTTTGCTTCTACCACAAGTAGTTCGTCTTTCTTCCCTTTTACTTCCTGGTCTTAAATCTGTTTCTTGGACAAGCGAAGACTGGAAAGAATTTATTGATCGTGCGAATGTTGCTATAAATAGCTTTGATGTTCTCGTCACAAGAGTCCATGATATATACACCAATAGAATAATTTACATGTTGTCTGGAATGCAAGAAGTTTCTCTAATAACTTTGCCAGGTGATCATATTTTTTTATTAAATTGATGACATCCTTTTTCCTTAAAATAATGACTTTTCTTTGTTATGTTCTTGATTGTTCAACTAATTTCTGCCTACATCAAGTGTTAATTGAGATTATTTCTGTATTTTCATTCAGATTAAAAACTTATACCTAATAACAACATGTTATTTAAAACGTATAAACTTAATATATATTTAAAACGCTTTCACTTTCTAATCAAACGACGCTTGTACATTACTCACAACTATCATATATATTTCACTTGGTATTTTATGTTTTAGAAGAAACTCCGTGGTCGGTTGAAGAATTTATTGAGCATATTGAGGGAGGTTGTCGGTAAGCAGTTTAGCAACAATAAATAATAAGTTTATGATCTAGATGTGTTTTAAAGTGCATATAACTATTATATTGTTATAATTTTAGAATCGCTTGCGTAGAATTGAATAGGAAAAGCTTGATGGTGGAGGAAGCGGTAGAGGAAGTACTTGATCTAGTCAGAAAAGCTGCTCAACAAGTGAAACCTACGGAGATAAACTCTGATTTCGAATTCCTTATTGCCGAGGGTAAATTATTAAGATATTACTAAAAATTGTGCAAATCATTTCTAACTCGATTACCACTTGCCTTACGGTGAAGGAAAAACATTGTGAGGAAACCTGCATGTCTGAGAGAACCTACCAAGTTTTCCAAAAGAAATGTGAAGTCCGCCAACCCGCACTTGGCCAGCGTGGTGAATTATTGGCCCTACCCGGACTCAAACCCAGGACCTCTGGATGTGCAGCCGTACATCCTAGCCACTAAACCACCGCGGCATGAACTGTTTATTTATACTATATCATGATATAAACGACCATTATCCGTACTTTGATACTAAGTTTGGTTGCCGTTCTCTTTTTATGGAGTTCCATAGGCGTAACTACGATTAATAATCTTATTCTATTACTCGTAGTAGGTATAATATTGACAAATATTTTTGTCTCATTCAATATGTATATATTATATGTACATGTAGGATATTTTAGTTATTATAAAATCTTAGACGATGCTCAGTCGCCGAGTGGAGGAGCTTCCACGTTGAACGAGTCTACTGCCAGCGGGCAGCAGGACTGGTCTGCAGTATGGGAATGCTTTGAGAGTCCCCATCGTCTACTCTCAATACCTGCGGGTGGATTATCCAAAAGCATGCAGGTAAGTAGAATAACTTATACGTATATGTACGTTAATATACATTAAATATCTGTTTATTGTTATTTAAAAATAGCAAAGTTACCGGACAATTCAAGAACATCTATATTAAAAAAGTTATAGAATACAATAGTAAAAATAAATAAAGGTAACTACGCTCGTGCATATGACTTCTTCTGCAGTAGTTCAGTATGTGTGCAAAAAAAATTAATCTGCGTTTTTTAGAAAATAATATTTTATGTATAATTCGACGACAGTGTCAGCTATTATGTCCAGATTTACTTGTTTACTTATTTACCCTTTACCACCATGTAGTGTATATTGTGAGAATAAATTAAGTTTAATCAATAAATAGTGTACAATACAAAGTAACGTACAATTTCGGACGACAGACAAGGCCCTTGTAACCGACTTCTGTCATGATGTGGTAATCTTACTGAACGCCCATTCATACAAAAAAGCCCGGAAGTCGTAGATTCGACTCTTAGGTCGGTCCAAGTATAGTCATTGAGTATTCTTGCCATTCAAACCCGAAGGAGTATAGCTATTAAGTATTCCTTTCCCCTTGGGAAATTGACGACGCGACGTTACGAAGTTAGTTAATCTAAACATAATAACAAATATTGCTAAAGATACATGATGCATTAATTTACTTCCTAAACGCAATTTTTCTTAACATTCACAATAGGAAATGGTGAAAAATGCAGTCAGCGAGATGAGACGTTACTATAGCCGCAAAGTGGTGGATGTGTTAATTAAAGTGACGAGACGCGCATTAGACCTCATTATCAAGCAATTCTCACAAGATATTGACATTGTTGGTAAGTCTTTTTATGTAATTAATTACCTGCCTTATAATTAAGCTTTTATAATCTCTCGTTTTTGTAGTTATCAAAATGAATCCTATAAATTCCATGAAAAGTTTCGTACTATAACGTAGGTATTATATTTTGTTACAAGGTTTAAATTATTTCTAAAATGGAATTAAGACATCTTTGGCTTGGGTACGTCCGTCTTCTACTGAGTCTACGCTGACTATCCGTCTGTGGTAGCTTTAAAAGCTTTTTTATTGTAGCAGACGTAGTCGATATTTAGTAAAAAAAACACAAAAAAATTATTCAGCAGTATCTTACTTTTGCTCTTTTATTATAGAACAAGCATATACTATAAACGTGAAACTTGATAACAAACCCTAATGTTAACAACAAGAAAAAAATAACAAAAATAATAAAAAAATACCGACTGCGTAAAAAGCGAACTAAAAAGATGTGAACAAGTTGACGAAGGAACCATAGTATGTATTATGCAGTGCGAGACATACACATACGCAGTTATTATAAAACAAGTACTGTAATATGGCCGTCCGCCTTCTCAAGTCTCAGATTGAGTATTTGGCGGACGGTGGGTCGCCTTCCAATATATGGGCCCCCATAAAGCAACATAGTCGGCTAACTGTATCGAGAGGCGTGCACCTATTTCACTATCACGTTTCCCCATCATTTGTAGATCGAGCACTTACACTCTTTCGAGCACTAATCTCTTGCGCTCCTCCTGGAAGGCCAATGAACGTAAGCCAGATGCTGCCCTGCGGGCTTATAATGTCGCGATTATGTATACTGCAAATAATATTTTGTGTGTTGTTAATATATTTTTCATTGTTTAATGTTGCTACAAGTTTTAAAGTTATTTCCACGTTTTAGTTAGTACGCATGCGTTAAGAGCGACGAATAGCGATAGTGGTGTACGCCCCATAGTAAAGGAAAAGCATATAGTATTTTTTTGTTTTCTCTGAACTCTCAATGGAAGGCGCGATTTTTAACTTTAATAATACTAGTCATAGAGTTGCTTACTAGCAAGGCAAACTATGTAGAGACCTTCAGGAGTTTATTATCTCCTAGTGCAATCGGAACTTAAAATGCCAACTTTCCCTATAATATTTATACAACCCTTTGTGCATATTAATTTTATTTATATACTAGTATTGCCCGCGGCTCCACTTGCGTTCAGATGACCAAAAATCAAATTCTTAGGTTTTACATATTAGTATACTCTTACATTGCAGTTTTTGTATTTTTTCTTAGAAATGAGACATTTTCGCGCGGTACAAAGTATCCTATTGACCCTGATCCTGTTGACCCGAATAACCAGCTATCACCATACCTCATCTAAATCCCTCCAGTGGTTTTTCTGTGATTCGGTAACAGACAGACAGACAAAAATTCTAACAAATATAGATTCGGCCTCTATATCAATAATAATGTCTATTTTAATAAGATTTCACAAAAAATATTTAATGTACAGATTCGGCTTAGTTACAATTTTAGTATATATATAGATTTAAAAATGTGGCGGTATAAAAGTATTTCAGAAAATGCTAATAATTTATTTGTTCTTTCCTATAAGAACCTTCTGAATTGTAACTTTTTACGATTTTTTTAATAATAATATATAAAAATTATAAAATCATAAACATAATGAACGGCCGAAGAAAAGAAAAGAAATAACAGTGGCATGACAAGGAAAATATGTTGATAAATTGACTTTTATAGGTTTGCGTGTAACTTAACAAACGTTGGGATATTAGTAATAAATTTTATATCTAAACTTTTATTAGGTAAATATAATCAAAAATATTTTATCTACCTTATGAAATTTCATGATATATCTACTTATTTTATTAAGCAATAAGCGAAATGAAAATATTTTATTAATATCCTTACAGAGTTACAATGCAATAGTACTAGTAGAAGCTAATTGCGTAAAGTAAAAACCGTGTTAAAATTAAGATTTATTGGGTACGTTGTAGAAGAGAAAACATATTTTAATTATAGGGTATTAAAAATTGTTAAGAGCTAAGCATGCTTCTCGACTGCGGTGGTAAAACCGTGATACTGCGTTGGAAATATTGATTTATAACGGTCATGCGCACTTCGTGCTTTCTACATTTCCACGTTGGTTGAAGTTCCGATCGAAATTTAACGTACACCTCTACTATGGTCATGTTTTCCTGGTAATACGATGAACGAAAATACCTGTCGCTCCTACAAAAGACTTGAGTGGGGTCTAGTTTTAGATCTCGAAAATTTATCTCGTAGAGTTTGTGTATGGTATGTGTTTGATCCGCACGCGTGTATGTATGTATGTATGTATGTCCGATACTATGTTCCCTCGTAATCCCTAAACGGAACAACAGATTAGTAGACAAAGGAATTCAATTTCCTGTTGTTTTATTTTTTTATATTAAAAATAAACAGAAAACTTTAAATGAAATAAATCCCAACACATATGACAGGTTTTTAAATACTACCTATCATAGTTCTAGTACAAAGATTTACAAATATCAATCAACCACCAAATATCTCATTAGAAACGTGCATTTTTAAAAGCGGTTCGTATTCTCATATATGAGCTACCCTTCTGTTTTCTGTTACTTCTTTTCTGTATAGAAATTTACATAGGTACATTTAATATAAATAAATTATTACTGAGTCTGATTCAACGCACACTATATCTACATTATATCAATATATGTATTACAATTGTAATAAAAGCAACCAAAATTAAATAATAATAAACTATATAAAATTAACAAATATTGTAAGATATTTTGGAGCCAATTTTACATTTTTTACACCATTATTTTATTTGTGGGTAGAATACCGTCCGTAACAATTGTATAATAAACATTGGTAACCAAAAATCAAAATTAATCCGCAAAAAATCCGAAAAAATAGTTTTGTTTCAAACTCCACTTATCGAATTCATTTATTTTATATTATTGTTGATAGATATTTTTAGTTTATTTTTAAAAGTATAAAAAATAAAAAAAATATTTTTAGTTTTGTTAAAAGCTAAAAAAAAATATTTTGGTTTTCGAAAAATTTATTTTAATAATTAAACGTATATTATATACGTATATTATATATTTATATATTTTTTTAAATAAATTGTTTTTATTGAAAAGTTATTTCAATAAAAATCTCTAAAATTCTTTCCAATATTTATTAATCATTAATCACATGAACAATCAATCACATCTTTGCATAAATTAATTATTAAGCTCCAAAGTAGCTGTTTCGATACGTATGTCGTAGTTGCGGATGTTAAAGGCGGGCTTTTTTAGCCGCACTAATACAAGGACGCCAGAAAGCTGAGGAAGTGTCTTCTCGCGATTGTTGTGCGCATGTCTCACAACCACGTGGTTTCTCCGCCACTACGCATGACCGTAGATTACGTTCTTGTTTAAATGACTACAATTTGAAAACTATTTCGTAAACGTGTTTGAAAATATAGGAAATTAATATAAACACACTGCGTTGTTAAACGTTCATTAACTTTATTTATAGGCACTATATATTTTATATTAACCACTAGGAAGTGAAAATATGCTTTTAAGCAGTTATCTGAATGTAAAGAATGAATATAAAGAGAGATCTGTCAAATATTATTTTTATTTTCTTATATTTAAAATACTATAAATCCACACTAATATTATAAATGTAAAAGTGTGTTGTCAAAAGTGACGGATTGGGGTGATTTATTGTGGAGGGCTGGAGAGTGACTTAGGCTACTTTTACCGCAGTAGATTTTTTAATTTCCACGTGAAAAAACGTTATAATACAATCAAAAAAAATATTCATGATCAGAATTACTTGAAACTTGGTATTAATTAATGCTCTTCAAAAAAATTAAATAAATACGTGTTTCAGCATTTTTCGAAATTCATCCTATAAGGGGGTAAAAATAAGGGATGAATATTTGTATCTTTCTACTACATTTTTAGATTTTTTTTTTGTACTTTTAGCGCGAGCGAAGCCGCGGGTTCTACTAGTAAAATAATATATTGGATCTTATAATATTATTGATGGCCACTTAACTAAATAAATTAATGTAACAATATATTAGTATTTGCATAAATATACTTGTATAATTCAACAAAAATATATCCTATCTATATTTATTGTCTAATAAATATTTAAGATGATATAAAATGTACCAAAAATTAAAACCTATACAATAGTGCGACTCGGTGGAGGGTGTTTTTCCTAATTTTAAAATATTCTAGTAATAATTTCAAAATATTTCTATATTTATTTTAGTTCCATTCTATATAATTAACCATACTAGAGTTCGCCGAGTGGTCGAACTTCGACCATGATTACTATTGTTTTTTTTTTTAAAACTAAAGCTTGTCAACAGCTAAAGCTTTTTAGTTTACTAAAACAAAAAATAAACAGATAGGTTCACAAACAAAATGTTTATTTTAATTAATTTAATGTATTAATCTAATGTATTTTATATAAAAATATTAGCTTCCTACACTATATCTCCATATAAATTTTAACCACGGTAATTATGTAATATTACCGTGCTTTAACTGTGTCAAATTTCACATTCTTCCGTCCGCGTAATTTTCTAAAGGGATACAAATTATTTGCTTCACGTATTCTCAATTTGACCACAGACTTTAACAATAAACAGAAGAGTATACATACGTGTGGGGGGGATACATACGTGTGTGTGTCAAATACATGATTGTGTGTAACGTTTTTTTTATTGATTTAATGTATTTTTTATGAATAATTTTTAAAAAATATTAGCATTCTGCACTCCTTCTCTATATAAACTATAAGTGTGGGAAATTTCTAACTCCTCTGTCCGGGCAATTTTCATAAAAGGGGTACAAAGTTTTTCCTGATAGATTTTTTTAGAAAAAATTGACAACATAAAAACAAAATTTTTGTGTGCTCATAATTTATTTCAAAATATAGCAAAAATTACATTAAAACTTTGAATACTACTATAAAAAAGTTTTAAAACAAAACGGTACCTATGGAATATGCATATTACAAGATGTAAAAAAACTCTCCAATATTAAGCCGCGCCAATCAAGCAATTGACTGTGCTAACAAAGTGGTGAAAAAATTACTGGCATTAGATAATTTTAATACCTAAATCTAAATTAGATGTGCTGGTCATCGCACCTTGGGTCCTTTCCGCGATAAACAATAAATAGCATTCCCGAGGAGGGTTGACGTCAGGCAGGCGGCCGGTCGTAAGAGTTTTGCCAAATCCTATCAGCAGTACGGAAGATGTACTGCACCGACCCCAAGTGATTGGGAAATGGGCAGGGAGATGATGATGATTAATATATTATAGATAGGTAACTTAAATTATCAATTTATTTATTTTA